AAAGGAGAAGAGAAAATAAAATGACAATAAAATGAAAAAAGGCGAGGACAAAGAGGGAACAGGCCGAAAATAGCAAGAAGTATGAGGCAGAACAAGGCACACGGTGGAGAGACCACTAACAAACAAGCAAACACGCAAACATGGCCACCAACCAGCGATACATTGTAATGGTACGAAATCACTACTGGGGGGTTGGTGCAATGGTGCAGCGTTGGGGGGGGGGGGGGGGGTGTACTCATAGTCGTGCATGCCGTAGTCGTTAGACCATTGACCTCGCATCCCTACAAAGCCGGGACGGAGCACGCCGGGTTCTCACCGGACCAGGCTCTCACATCACCAAGCGCGAAGCGCCGTGAGGTATTTGGCGAGTCGCATGAAGGGTGAGCTGCATCCTGCTAAGGGTGTTCGGCATCTTGTGCTTACTTCCTTTCGTACGGATGACAGCTACGTATGACTTAGTTTATTTTCTGGTGCTTTCACTTCCAGAGAACAGTTGTAAGCACTGTGTAACTGCCTCGAGGATGCTTGACCATTTTAACACAACGTGGTGCGATCATCCCCCGTTGCGCGGAGTGAGGGTTCTCCACCCCGCACAACATGATCTACTCGACCACCATTATGGTTACCGCCAAAAAAAAAAACCGAGGTAAAAAAAAAACGGTAACCTGGTTGCCGAGTTCACGAAGTGAATTGGCTTATTTTACAACGTCGTTACCAAGCGACGAAAACCCAATCCCGATGGCAAACACCGAGGGGGGGGCTTGTTTTACAACGTCGTTGCCAAGCGACGAAAACCCAACCCCGATGGCAAACACCGGGGGGGGGGGAATTGGCTAAAAGAAATTCAATCCGGCACGTATCGTGCCACTCGGTCCGTCTCTTCTCGTTTGCTTTCTTCCCTCGCCGTCTCGTCCGTCTCCTGCCCCCCTCCCGCCCCATTGGTTGTTGGCTTGTGGTTTCGTTTGAGCGCTCGTTGTCGGCTGGCCTCTTGTTCCTTCTCGTGCCAGGAGTTCATGAACCTCTCAGCTCCCTGCAGCACCGCCGCATGCCAGGGTACTCCCCCCTCCACCTTCGCGGCTTCCGTCCACCTTGACTTCGGTGCCGTGTCTTTCGGTACGGGAATTCCGAGACAACATGGATTGGTTTTCGTAGATCCGTGGTTGGCCCCGAATGCCTTCAGGTCGTCGAGCACACACTTCGGTCAGTTCTGTTCCTGTCCCCCCCTACGTGGCTTCTCCCCCCCCGCCAGCTCACCGAGCATCAGTCGTTTCGGGAGTCGCCCGTCCGGCTGCGTTGCCAGTGCTCCCGCGAACAGTAGGCGTCGTTGTCGGATCGTGGCTTCAACACTCTGGCATTCGACCCTCTTCAGCGTCTGGGCGTACGAGAGCTGCCGGTAGGTGTCTTTCTTGCGCTTGTACCCGATAACTCGAAGGAGCAGTCGGTGGTGTGTCGACCGCAGCGTCTGATAGTGGCCGCTGAGTGGTGACCATCTCATGCAGCCGTACAGCAGTGCCTCCATCGCCTCCGCCTGGAGGAGGCGGATCTTGAGTCGGAATGGCGCTTTCGGTCTGTCTAAGAGCTCCTGGCCATATCGCCTGAGGCACGCCCACGCTCCTCTGCTCCTGTAGCTGATCTCCCGGGTGAGGTCGCCATGTTCGTTGATGAGGCCACCGAGGTACCGGAACTCGGTCATCTGGGCGTATTTTCTGTCCCGCGGCTTCGATGGTCAGTGGTGGAGGCGGGGGGGGCTGTGATGTTGTAGTTGACTTGTCCTTCGCGCGCATCAGGAGTGTCTCCGTCTTCTTCTCCGACACCGTTAGCCCGAACTCCCCGAACACCTCAACGATGATGGTCATCATTCTCGCCAGTCCTTCTGCAGACCTCGATACGATGCCGGCATCATCGGCATACAGCATCCCCGATACTGCCCTCCGTACTCGGTCAAGGGGTGTCTCCTCCCGCCCCCCCGCTTCCGTCTTCCCCTCCTCCAAGCACACCAGATTCCGCAGAACAACATCATCCTCGCTGAATCGGATAACGACGACCTCGAGGACCTCGGCGAAGAAGATGTTGAACAGCAGTGGGGATAGCACACATCCTTGTCGTACGCCCTGTGTGACGAAGAACCAGTCCGATAGCTCTCCGTCGTCCATGCGCACCCGGGCCCGCATTCCATCGTGGAATTGGCGGATGACTTTGATTAGCTTCGCGGGAATCCCGGCCCTGGCCAGCACCTTCCATAGCATCTCTCGGTCCACCAAATCATACGCCTTCTTCAAGTCGACGAAGCACATGTAGAGCGGTATTTTCTTTCTCCGCCCCAGCTCTTGGAGGCGACTCACGGCGAACAGCATGTCGACGGTGGATCGCCCGGGTCGAAATCCGCGCTGTTCCTCCGGGAGGATGTTGTTGGCTTCGCAGAAGGCGCTTAGACGGTTGGTGATGATCTTGATGGGGACCTTGCCTACGTGAGATAGTAGCGAAATCCCCCTGTAGTTGTTACAGTTGGACCGGTCAGCCTTCTTGTACAGCACCTTGATGGTTGCATCCTTCCACTCTTGGGGGATATCTCCTCCGTTCCACACCTTGACGAGGATGGTATGGAGGTGTCTCAGGACAACGGGTTCGTCGTCATCGATCTTGAGCAACTCGGCAGGGGGGGAGTCATGGCCGGGTGCCTTCCAGTTCTTGAGGCCTTTCGCTGCCCGTGCCACCTCCTCGAGTTCTGGCACCTCTCCCAACCGTTGAGTGTCACGTGTCGCTGGCCGCTGCGTCACTCGTTCGATGATATCTGGGTTCAGGGTGGGGGATTTGGTGTTGAGTAGGGTGCTGAAGAATCTCGCCCACCGTTGGAGGATGTCGTCCCTGTTCCGGAGCAACACGCCGTTCTCATCCGCGACGAACTGCTGTCCCCCCGCTTGTCTCCCGCTGAGGCCTACTGATCTCTTGAGGTGTTGGTACAGTCCTCTCATGTCGCGATCTTTGTAGATTGCTTCGAGTTCAGTCACATGTCCGTCCAGGTGGGCATAAATGCCCGTTTCGACTGCTGTAGCCACTCCCTTACACGCTGCTTTGAGAGTTCTCCACGTTGCTGAGTTCCAGTTGCCCCTCATCGCCCGGCGCGCTTCCCGCCGTTTGGTAAGGGCCTTCTCCAGCACTGCTCTCGTCTCTGGGGTCTCACACCACTCCTGCGTGCGGCGTACCCGCGGTTCCTCCCCTAGGGTCGTCCGCGCTGCTTCGAGGAGAGCATTGGTAAAGTCGGTCGCCAATTCCGCGGCGGTGGTTGTTCGCTCGTCCAGTCGTGTGTCGAGGTTGAGGAAGAACCGATTAGTCACCGCACCCCGTGCTGCTTCGAGCTGCAATTCCCGTCGGTTGCATTGCTGCCGTTTCGGTTTAGTCCGGACTGCACGGTTGTGGGCAAGCCTGCCACCGAGGTTGACGGTGGCTACTACCATGTTGTGGTCTGAGTCTGCTTTGACTGGGCGAACCGGCTGGGGGATGACAACCACGTTAGATACTCGGCCGTGATGTGCCTGCCTTGTCAGGATGTAGTCAAGGCGCTTGCAATCGTTTCCCGACACACCGTTGTATGTGTGCCATATTCCGCCCTTGCGTGTCTCGAAGAACGTGTTCGTGAGAGCTAGCCTGTTTTCGGTTGCGAAATTCAACAGTAGCATGCCATTGTCGTTGAGCTCATCAATCACGCCCGTACATTCCTAGTACCCTTCCGTCCCCTCCGTCCAACCTATCTCCCGTCTGCGCGTTGGCATCCAATAGGACATACACGCATTCTTTGGAAGGGATCCTCCGCACGAGACTGTCAAGTTTCCCCCAGAACACGCGCTTGCTGTCGGCGGTTGAAGGTTCGGTTGGAGCATACGCGGCTACGAAGTTGACCGCTCCACGGTGGCCTGCCTACAGAAACCTCATGGCCATAAGGCGTTCGTCGATAAACTCGGTAGTGAACGTGGATGTCTTGCACAGTGACTCTTTGACGGCTATCCCCACACCATGGACTCCACCAGTCTCCGTACCACAGCAGAACACCCGGAAACCCGCTGCTGCAAATTCCGTTCGACCTGCCCTCCATGTCGCCTACATTCCTACCACCTAGTCTATACGTTTTGTCTCGCTGCCTCGTGTAGAATGCTGTAGGCTCGCCCGTATCCATTGGCCCCGTTTACAGCCAAAGTCCGCACATTCCAGGTTGCTACCCTAAGAAGTTGACCCTGCTGTCTCTTTCGTGCGGCGCGCGCTGCTCTCTTAGCTAGCCTACGCGCCGCCCGACCCCTCCTTCTCCTCCATCTCCCCCTCTTTTTTGTTTTTTTTTTCTATTTTTTTGCGAACACTCGGGCTAAGGTGATAGTCACCCCGGTTCTTGCCTTGTTTCCCATAGAGTTGTCTTCTTGTCCCGGAGCGGTGTGGTCCTCCATCTCTGGACTCTCTCCTTTCCTCTCTCTGGGGCATACCCCCACGGCGTGCGGTCACTCCGCCACCCTCACCGTGCTCTCTGCTGCTGCATAACCCCGGTGTCCAAGCCGGGGCGTTAGGATCCAGTCTCATTTTTTTGCAGCTACCAAAGCTGGCGGTTCACGAGCTACCCCGATCTCACGACAGCAGTAACTCCCAATCGCCAAACTCAGGATCCCCCTCTCAACAGTGTTAGGGACCGTATATCCGTCTTTACTGGGTGGTCTTTCGAGGTCTAGATCCACTTGCGGAACCTCGGCCTACCCCAGGGACGGGGGGGGCAGGCCGGGGAGAAACTTAAGATACCATCGGTACAGAAGTGCACGTGCGAAGATGAACAAACCAGTGCAGACGAGGGGCCGTTCGAAGGCGGAGATGACTCACACAACGATAGAGTCTAGACTACATGAAGCAGATTCAGTTGACGCCACAGCGGTGTGCACGTGACTCACTACGAAGTCACATTGTGCGACAGACGTTGGTAGTTTAAGCCATAGGCTACAAACATCGATATCCTCTAACGGATCCGAATGCCTAGCTGTGAGGCCCCTTGGTGCCGTGGCGGATATTCACGCTCCCGAAGAAATTTGTGCGTTTGGCTGGCGGGGAAAACTGCCATTTCGGCAGGCCAGCAGAAAACGGTGTATCGATCTACACAGTACACAGTACAGTAGATATATGTGACTGAATGTGTACAAGTAGAGAGGCGTACAGAACGGGCCCGGGGACAAGAAAACGCCAATATCGGGTGGAGGATCAGTTTTCTCATTTCATCTGTCAAGCACAGCTTGGTATACGGAGTTTTCCGTAGTTAGTGTAGGATCCCCCGCTGTGAGCTGTGTTTCTAAAACCCTGTTTTCTACTGTATGTTTCGTGAAATATACTGCTACAGTATGTACTTTACTGCTTGCCCGATCTGTACACTGGTAGATTCAGTAGTCACTATATGGTGCTACAGTACTGCTGTGCGTCAACATTGATGCAAAAAATGTTCTTGTTTCAATCACCGAACACGTTTGTTCGTCCGTGGCTCTGAAGCCTCGCGTGTGCTTTGGTCGATGTTCACCGCAATATTCAAGATGACTTGATGTACCTTCTGTAGACACTTCCAAGTGCTGATATGTTGCCCTCAAAGACAGCCAACCGCCTTTGTTGAACACGTCGCTCGTTTCGCTTGTAGGGATACCACCCCAGACAGACGGGGGTTGGGGAGGGACCTGATCCTGCGCTTGAAGCCTTCAAGAAAGCCCCGATCACGGGTCTTCTATCCGAGGTAACCGCTTCCTCTGCACTACGAACCCTGGCTCGACCTCCCTCTCACGTGGCACAACATGCAACATGGATGCAGTGAAACTGCGATGGCGGAAGAAATTCGGCCACGAACGTGTGCACACTGGACTCTGGACTGCTTCTGTGATGTATTGTATGTAGTTGGTTGGTGAAGAGAGAGCAGGATTTTATTTTTCGCGAGGAACAACTACATACCGCACCAAGAAATCTCATCGCGGCAAGGAATACAGTAGGCCCAACGTGTGAAAGTGTGAATACATGTACAGTAGTTTGGTCTTTTGTATCTATTCCCTTGCTCAAGCGAAAATATTGGATCTATAGCATCGTGAACCCTCACAGCTGGTGGGCGACGACATTGCCCTCTACATGTAAGACAAAATGTGTGTGTGGGGGCGGGTCAAGTTTCTCACTTGCCACCCCGATCTCCCACACTATTTCACAAACGTGTACCGCTTCCATGGAAGAATATATCAGCTTCCACGGAAGTTGATCTACTTCCATGGAAGCTGATACCTGTTCGATGGAAGATACACGCTTCGCACTTTCATGGAAGCGCGAAACGACACGTCCAAGGGAGCGATATTCACTTCCATGGAAATAAAGATATGAAATACGGATGTGCCACTTCCACGGAAGTTCACTTCCACAGAAGTCCTATGGAAATCTCGTGGAAGTGGAATAGCTTCCATGGAAGCCTGAGGTTCGGCTTCCATGGAAGCTATTCAAAACAGGTTGAGGGCAGCTTCGATGGAAGTATTCAGCCTCGGGTTGGCTTCAACGGTCTTACCGGGAATAGTTACATCTAACCGAGGTACAGCCGAAGAAAGGGAGTCACAACCACACTAGATATAGCTAAATAGTACCGTAGACGATAAACAGCTAGAGACTGGCATTGAAGTATTTCCCAAGGCAATACATTGCGAACTCCAAGCTTGTGTACCCCTGCGTACCGTCTTCCTGGAGGTTCCCGGTATCGGACCTAAGTTCTCTGGCCTACTGGGAGAAGGAGAAGGCGAGGACTGCATCAAGAACACGTTCCAGCTGATCGGGAAGTTCTTGGTGTTGCGAACATCGAATGAAGAAGATGGAAAGCTGGTGCGCGCTACTCTGTAGTCGGGGTGTACGTTTGGTCATATCATTAAATCGATTCTCACCACATAGACCACAGTAGGGGTCACCAACCTGTACTGCCGTACGGTATCCGCAATGTAATTGCCTGATGCATGGCTTCCGCGATCGACCAGCGAGGGCTTGGTCTTGGCCGCGCACTAAACCTCTTACAGGCAGTAGACAACGAGCAATATCGGCTCGGTGCACCTTCGCATACATTACGATCGAAAATTGTTTCGCGTTTTCTGTCGGTGTGTTCTGTTTTGTGTCTGTTGAAGATCGATTGCGTCGAGCACTGCGATAAATTTTATTGGTGGCTGCAGTCCAAAGGAATCGGTTTTCGTGGTCGCATCGTCCAATGCATTGCCGAGAAGGTCAACATGTCATACCCTGGTGAGTTAGACTACTGTAGAAATAGCGCTTAGCGGTTGTAGACAAAATAGATTGTGCAGTCTAGTTGGGGAATCCCGGGGTCCCCCAAGTCCTACAGTGGTCGGTCAAATAAAGGATATATATGTTGTGTACTCTATTGTATTGTAGTCTACGTATGTAGTCTCTGCTGTACAGAAAATAGATACAGTAGATCACATGTGCACCGACGGCATGGAACATCCGATTACCGACACGGAAGCCAATCTCCGGCCTCCGCATGACGAGCGAAGTCAACTGCAATGGTAGCGAACAACAGCTACCACAGATCTCATGCCTGCTTCGCTTTTGGTCGAGCATCCACCGTCCGTACGTACTACTATTGTAGACAGTGTCCGCCACCCGAGGAATACCTTCTTCTCGGGCTCGGTTTTGCTCGAACCCCGTCTCCACCCAATGCCCCTTCCCACTACTACCACCTCATGCAGGAATTTACGACAGGGAGGCGTGGACTGACCCCCAGGACGAGAAGTAAAATTGAGCGCGGTGTAGGCGTCGAGCTCAGCCGGCAGCACGCGCGAGCCGCGGTGCTCAATCACATAAATGGTGTAGGAGGTTTCTCCGTTTGATGGGTGTTTGAGCCCACGTGTCCGTAGTGTGTGTGGGGGGAATGTTCTTCGTTCATTTCCTGGGCTTTCTCGTACTGCTGGTTGCCTACGCCGAGAGAGTGCTGATGATTGTCGAGCGCCCGTGTGCCGCAGTGTCATGGGGGTGTTTTTCGTTTGAAGGGCATTTTTCGTGTTGAGGCGTGCCTGATAGTTCTGCGAGGGTGCTGGTGATTGTGCGAAACCGTGCCGAGCAATGATGGCACGTCGCTGCTTGATTGAAAGTGAAAGGTATCCAGGGTGCAGCCTATTTTCCCACTTCCCAAACTTCTTGAGGGTGAACCCACGAGAATCAGTACCAGATATTTCACTTTTTCAAATTAGGGACGGGAAGTTGTAGTCATACGTACATTCCAAATGTTTTATCTAGAGGGCATCGCCGTGGTGCCAGGAATGCATCTGGGGCCTTACAATATTGTTCTTGACTTTTCGCCAGTTTCCGCCGTGACACTGGTGTATGCGTGGATAGTCTTCATTTCGTTTCGAACCACTGGCTGGCGAATACTGCCGGTCAGTTCCACCGAAGCGCCTTTCCTCGAGTCCCCCGTCAAACCAAACCAAATCCCCACCACTTATTAATCAACGAAGACAGCGAACGAATCCCCCCAAGAGATCGCTACGGTACAAATAATACAAATGTACAGCTCAAACTATTTCGCGGGCGGGCGTTCGGAGTTCCAAGATCGAGGAAGCAACCTAATTTCAGAATCGATGATACACGCACTGCGCCTACACACTCTCCGTAACCACTCTCCCGCGCTCCCCCGTCCAGTCGCCAACAACAAACAATCGCCCCAGAGTCAACCAAAGGGGTACACTGACAGTCGCAGACGAAACATGAAAACACATCTTGGGTTATGTTCCGTTTCGCTGCCGGGGGAATTGCGAACACATTCATTCGCAGCATTTTACAAACAACACGTATCGATCTGAAGCACATCGAACCACACATCTATCGCTCAAAGGAGGCAAATGTGCCGCTAACTCTCGATAAACTAAACGCCTCTGAGAAATTGGCGATTTCGAAGGACCCAGTTCGTGGGGGTCCCGCACACCGGTTGCTCTGATAAATAGCACAAACTGCCGGTTTCGTATCGTACTGCGTTGCAAAGACGGCTGAGAGGTGGGTGCAACCATGTGTCGCACGGTGGGACCAATTCCAATCCCCTTAAAATGCACCCATGATCTTCCCATCCGCCCTTTCGGACCGCGAACCACTCGTGAGATGCCCTGCCCCATCCAACCATCAACAACCATTTGTGGAACCTTTCCAGCAACCTCAAAATCTCCGCGCCCTGGACCTCTTCGTCACGAATAGAATATTTACCGCCCCCCCCCGCTTGCAGCATCGGCACCCGTAACGCCAGCCACAGCGGGACAGTGTTCGCTTCCAAGGACGACGCAGGGCGTGAGGTCCTCGTCCTTTTTCCCGTTGCCGTACTTCTCCACAGCCTGCTTCAAGAGGTTGATGCGTTCCGCCTAGGGGGCACGCGCACAGGACAGTCCCAAACGTTTGAAAAAGATGCCATAATACGAAAAAAAAAAAGAGGCGACGGCGATGAAACCGAGAGCCCGGGGAGGGTGTTTCGCTTCAAGCGTGGGAGGCTTGAAAATGCTTGCATGGGCCGCGGTCAATAGAAGAACACCAGGGATCAGGCACAAACAAGCTCAAGCACAGTAGCACCGCTCTCGTCGGCAATATCTTACACAAAATGAAGTTTCAAACAGATTGGCGGACAGCTCTTCATCAACCAAGCACGGAGGGATTTAAATCCGTTGCAGTTGGGCAGGGTCCTCAGGGACGGGTACAGCAGTTATTGTACACAATACCAGATTCTTCCTCTTCTTGAGTACCAACCCTCCCAACTATTCTTGTTCCTTTGTCTCGTCTGTTTCTTCCCGCTTGGAGAGAGTGAAACTACAACACAAGACCACAACGCCCACTGGAGCACCGGTTCGGGTCAATGACTGTAGTTACAGATAACTTCTTCAGTATCCCTGTCTGCCTTCATCCTGATGCGGGAGGGTTAGCAAGGCAAACCAACGTTTCCTGTGTAATGTTGCCGGAACCTCGTTTCCCAGGATTCATTGGGATTTTCGCTTGCAAACAAGACCCTTTAGTTCTCGCAATGTGGGAAAATACGTGGTGTGAGTCACTCCAATGTCCCAGTTCATGGTACACGTATCACGTTCTCCGTCCACAGTACTGGCCACAAGCGGAATGAAGACTGAACGTCGCCCGGTGACAGCACATTGATTAATAGCGGTGAGCTCGCCCTGGTGCGCGACAACAGGGATACGGTCTCATGTGAAGGGAAACAATATCGATGTCTCGACAGTCAACGACGCGTGAAGCCGAAAGCTTTCGAGGCCAAAGTTACTTCTCATTCATTGCCTAGTGCACTTATCGAGGCCGAACCTCGGATGCCGCCATCTCTGTAGGGTACGAGCGGATTGCCTGTGGCGCGCTTCGAAGAACGGACAGGGCCACCGATCATATAATCGGAATTTTGTGACCTTCTCTTAACATGATTCACTGCTTTGTGCTCCGCCTTTCAAAGAAGAACAGCTGGTCGGGTCGCGAGCGTGACGCCTTCATTCATCAACCACACATAGCTGGCGAGTGAATGAAGCTGACAGCCTGAAAGGTCGGCCCCGATCTAGCTACCGAGTGCAAGGTGTTTACGGTCGTTGCTCACTCGACCCGAGAATCGACTGTTGCTCGGTATGGTAGGAGAATACAGAAGCCGCGACTGAACCATTATTTTCACCGCGCGCGATAGAGTCAATTACCTCCGCAGCGAGCACTCGTAATGTTCACACCGACCAACTAGGTTCGGTTGACACTTACAAGAGAGTCACGGCTCGGATTTCACGATGACTTGCTCCGTAGGCTGCACGGTTCCCGGGAACCTGCTCAGCCTTCTGGCCTTTCAATGCCCGCCACGATTCAATCAATTGCCAACAGAAAGGAAACACTAGGCCAGAAATTGACCAAAAAAAAAAGGGAACGCCTCCTTGACGTCCGAAAATCTTGGCCAAGATTACTAGGAAGATTATTTCGGGCAAAAAAGTGAAACAAACTGGTGTCGGGCGAGCCCTTGCCCAAGAGAACGCATGTTTGAACAGACAATCGTGGCCAAAAACATGTCAGTGACGTCGAGGAACGTTGAGATTCTTTCACTCTTCGCCACATCAGCACTACCACGCTTCGGGTCCCCTAGAAGCTGCAGCCATCGCGCACAATCGCCCTATCCCCTCAAGGTAAACTACCCTCTCCCCTAGTTGCATGGCACTGCAAAGCAGAGGGGTGTTGGTCTAGCCGCATCCACAACTCCTCCCTGATCGCAGCCTCCCTCCAAAACGACCGCCCGCCCACATTACCTTGTTCCCCTTGAAGATGTAACTGCCACACACGATGAGGTTGGCCCCAGCCCTCGCCGCTTCCTCGATCGTCTTGTCAGCGAGCCCCCCGTCGACCTCGATGTCCAGGCCCGGGTACCTTCGCCGCAACTCCTTGACCTTCGACATCTGCCACGGCCAGCGCAACAGAAAAAAAAAAAACTGTGAGATTTCGGCGCGTGTGGTTTGTGCGAATCCTGTCTACCTCGACCACAACCCTGGAGGATGGGAAATGAGTCCGCGTGCTGCTCAACCTTTTCGTCATTTAAGGCGGGTCATCGCCGCCCCTGGTCGTTTCACGTCGGGCAGATAGCAGCCAAATTCAATCACGTCGCCGTTCCAGGCACAAGTAAATTGAATTATTTCGCCTGGTAGTTTAGGTTGTTCGACTCGCGCGAGAGGTGCAAGTTGTGATTTGCGAGCATAGGTTAATCGACCCGTGGCAGCTCCCGCTTCACCCTCCGACATACAGCAAGGAGCTGCTAGGGCTGATGAATGCATGCTTTTGTGGGAGACCGAAGCATGCGTTCCTTCACGACGCTGCTTGTGCGGGTACATGCGTTGGGACGGTACTAGTTTACGGCCCACCGCCCCAGGGCGCCAACGAAACGCGACAGACTTTCGTATCGGCCAATCGTCGACGCGGTGGGTTCGACCGCTACTATCACCGTGGCCATAACAGTAAAACGATTCAATCGGCCTTTCTCGAGAGAACCCCCCCCCAGCGTGGGCGGCAAGTACTGCGGGTATGATCTGTACTTTCTTGAGGAAAATCTCCCTCCCGCGTGGGCGGCGAGCGAAAACATCCCCCGACATCAACAACCAGGCAAACAGAGTAAAATACAAGGAAAAAATCTTGTCATGGGATTGGGTGCTAGAGGTAGAAACGGGCCTGCCATTCGAGGAGCGGAAAAACCCGGGCATACTCTGTTCTCGCCTGGTCCGCCATGAAGGACTGCCCTCCAAACCCTGGCTCCACCGTCATGATCAGCACAAGGTCGAGGTCGTCGCAGTACGGAAACACTTCCTGTTCGTTTGTCGCAAGAACGGTCGCGGAGAGAAGCAGGTGGAGGGGGGGGTGTACTCATAGTCGCGCATGCCGTAGTCGATAGACCATTGACCTCGCATCCCCAAAGCCGGGACGGAGCACGCCGGGTTCTCACCGGACCAGGCTCTCACATCGCCAAGCGCCAAGCGCCGTGAGGTATTCGACGAGTCGCATGAAGGGTGCGATGCATCCTGCTAAGGGTGTTCGGCATCTTGTGCTTACTTCCTTGCGTATGGATGACAGCTGCGTATGACTTAATTTATTTTCTGGTGCTTTCACTTCCAGAGACAGTTGTAAGCACTGTGCAACTGCCTCTAGGGTGCTTGACCAACTTAACACACGTGGGTGCGATCATCCTCATTGCGCGGAGTGAGGGTTCTCGACCCCGCACAACATAGTCTACTCGACCACATTACCGCAAAAAAAAAAGAGGAAAAAAAATAATGGTAACCTGGTTGCCGAGCTCACGAAGTGACCGGCTTGTTTTACAACGTCGTTGCCAAGCGACGAAACCCCAACCCCGATAGCGATAAACGGGGGGGGGGGGGGGGGGTATACGCACGTTGGGTGGGGCGCATTGGCCGCAGCTGACAGACTCCACTGTTTCGACGGAGCAGAGGGATGCGTGGGTTGTAACGCAAACACAACGCATTCCTCCAAGGCAAGTCCAGGAGTGATGGAGGGGGAACACACACCCCCGGCAGCCTTCGCTGGGTTGTTCGACTTGTAACAAAGACATGTTGGATAAAGCATGCAGTCGGGGAATTCGGGTTAGGACTAGGGTTAGGGAATGAGGTCTGCGTACCCCCCTCTCCCGTTTCTATTTCCTCATGAACTTTATTCCTTCACGAAGGCGGGGTCCTACACACCTCTACGGGGGTAGCCGGCTTTAGGGCCACGCCCACGCCCATGCCCTTCGCCTTCACCGCCGCGATCAGCTCCGCCACCTTGTCGGTGGCCTCCACGTGGAACGTAAACCTGCAAGGATAAAGCAAGCAGGACCAACGCTTAGCTTGGAACCAAAGGTTTCCGAGGACTTGTTCATTGTCCGGCGGCGGCCTGCGAACGGCACCGCCCCAGCAGAAGATCTGAGCAATCCAACGCGCACATCGCCGCCATCGCATGCCTTTTGCTACGTACTGTATCGCACCATTTTAAGGGAACGACTCCTACGCAGGAATATCATCCATCTCCAATTAAACGGGAAAATGCGTCAGGTGCACCCACATCGCAACACCAAACGCACGCACCCCACCCCCCATGCCGGAAAACAAACGGGAATTCCAATTATGGTGAACAGAGGTGTCGCACGGACAAGAGGAAGACTCGCCTGTCGACCCCAGCGGCCGCCATATCGTCCACCCACTGGGCAGGGTGCGACACCATAAGGTGGGCATCCAGCAAGGCCTTCGTGTGCTTTCGTAAACCCTTGATGACCTGCGACAGACCCCGCAAAAGTACGCAACAGTTGAGAGATACGCAGGGCGAAGGTTGCCAACTGGTACTACGAAAGGTTTCGTGCTCCAAGGACTGATCAGGAGTAGCCCACCCAAGGGTCGCAACGCCTCCGAACCACCGTCATAGTCTTCGACGTACCCACTTGCCGTTAAGCGAGAGACTGCCTGCGTTGGTTTTGCAAACAATGAAAACATGGCTTTTGTTTTGCTTCCCCTGCTGTGATTTACCAAGCGGTAAGAAGGGGTTACATGCCAGATACCTAGTTGCCAGGGCCGTACGCGAAAACCTGGTTTCAGCACATTCAAGTTGGGGCACGCAATAGAGGAGAGAACACAGTGCCGAAGCCACGGGCGGCTGCCCCACAGGACAAGCACAGCTGAAACGGGCAACAAGGTGCACGACACCAGCACATCGAGCGAAGCTCGTTGCATAATGACGAACTCCAAACCAATGGCAAAGACGGATTTCGGTTAACCCTACAGTCTGATTGATTTGCAACGGCAAATGCGCTGCTACTCCGATGCAACCGTAGGGACATATGGCACACGCTCAGCTGTGTTCCGATTGTTCAAAGTACACGGTCGGATACTTGTTTTTTGTATCGTCATGGTAGCGCAAGGCTGCGAGATTCAACCTACCCAAAACGTCCAGCGTGGAGTCTACTGCGCACACAAAAAACGGAGCCGGAGAACAGCAGGGAAGGGAAGGGATGGAAATCAAAAGCTGGAACGGACTCTTACCGGCGCGCCGAAGGTGAGGTTGGGCACGAAGTGGCCGTCCATAACGTCGAGGTGGATGTAATCCGCGCCCTGCCGCTCTACGTCCAGCGACTCCTCCATGAGTCGTGACATGTCGGCCGCAAGCACGGAAGGCCCGATAGCAGCCGGACGGGAGTGAAATCTGTCGGTTACAGTAGGCGCCAAGGGGATGAACGGAGGGAAGGAGGTTGTGGTCGGGAGGGCGGGGGGATTCCAAGACACTCGCGTGCGGACAAAAGCCGTGATAGTGCACTCGAGAGATGGGATCAACTTCGTGTTAAGGGGATCGCAGAAGTTCATTACGACCTGTATTGATTGCAGCTCGGAGGGAGTGAAAGCTGTCAGATCGCTATCGATCCCAACGGGGTTTCTGCGAAGTCCTAACGGATGGATTCTCGCAAAAAAAGAGACTGCTGTGGTAATACTCCAACGGATGCGGTCTTCCTGTGTTCGTGTGTAAATTTTCTTTAAAATCTACACAGATTTGTAAAAATTTCATTTGGTTTGCGGGGGTTCGCTGGGCTCTTCGACTCAAAACGCGTCACAGCTTGCGTGCGTTGTTGAGCCAGCTGCTGGCTGGTCCTGCTGCCTGCTTTACATATTGACACTCTCATCAGCATCTAGATACACGTTGGAAGTGCTCCAAGATGAAAAATACCGGTCGGTTGCCGATAACGGCTGCTTCGGGCTGCCAGCGACCACCTCAATGACATGCACGTGGGGGCACGAACACTCGGTCTTTGCTGCCACGATCGGAGCTGTGTGAGCCTCCGACGGCTATTTTCCCGCCATCGTCCCGAAGACACCGAACACTTCGAATTCCAAATTTCCGTGCTATATAGCGCTGCTGTGCTGCACTCCCGGTGAGTGCGCGCCTCTGAAGCAGGCGGCGATGTTCTAGACTGCTCCACTCCACTGCTGTGTACTATGTATATATTTACAGCACAGAGTGAAATAACGTAAAGCAGCTCGCGGTAGGTTTGTACCGTCGGTTGATGGATGCATCTCACCGTTCACCCATGATGCTGGTGATGCCAGCAGCCGCGTAGAGGATGAAAAGCGCCCTCCAGCTCAAATAACCAGCAAAGCCCCGGCGCATACAACGGCCTCTGGTGTCCGCCTTTAAGGGGGCGAACGAGGAGGGCAACGCAAGGGCGTGCGTGTTATCTACAGCAACATGTACTAGCGTGCACCGCAGTCGCTATGCATTCAAACCAATCGTAGTTGCAGTTGAACACTTCAGGAACAATCATGCACACGTCTCCACGCACGCGATCTAGGGCCAGCACCCGTCTCCTCTGCCAAAGGGTCTTGATTCCGCGCTGACCTTGGTATCCTTTTGTCTGGCGTACGCCGCGTGGAGAGCAAGAGAAGCAGCTGTTGTGCGGGGACGGCGGGACGGGCGGTTGGTGGACACGATGCGGCGCAACCACGACGGGGCACCGGCGAATGGGTGTATGTTGGCATGTCAAAATCTCTTCATCTCCCTCGCGGAAGAGCCAGACACAAAGCAGTCAGTGCTGCAGTGCCTGTTCAAACAGCACGCGTGCACTCGCAGCTCGAGGATAGCGAGCGAGATGGCGCACCTGGCGCGAAATGTGCTCCAGCGGGGCGCTGCTTCCAGCGGGTTGCCTCTTGCCACGTCCATTCCGGCAAGCGGGGCGAACGTGAGCAGATCAATGTCGACGTCGTGGGTGGCCAGGTCGGCAGGTTCCCTGCTCGGAAGGCACTCGGTCAAGGTGCGCGTTGCGCATGGCTTGGGGGTGAATTGTGGGTAGAGATGAGGCGATGGGTAGCCGTGGCATTTGTTGGCTTCACGGCATCAAATACTCGGACCCTGTAGCATATTCATGACGCCTCTCAATGGGTGTTGGCTGGATCATCGAAGGCTCCAGAAAGAGCGGCAGGTTTCCGGTTGCCTACAGCAGTACACCTCGCTACTGCTGGTACACCCCACCGCAGTAACGAAGCACACCGTTTCTGTCTTGTAGAGAGTTTGTTCCTTTAACGTGCATGTATTGCCGGTGTGGCTGGTTTCGGGAGGGAATGGATTTGCGTGACGAAAGCCGGCGCTTGGAACCAGCTGTGTTGTGCCTATAACCCATCCGACATGGATGCGATGCTACGTTGTTTCGCAGTACGCAACGCCGTGGGGGAACGCGGACGTGTGTGTACAAGGTGTCACCTGCTTACCAGCAGGAGCTGTAGCGTCGTAGCGTTCTTGCGCAGAGCAAAAACTCTGTGCTTTGCAACGATGGAGATATGCCCACTTGCTGAGGGGTGGGTAGGGAGGTGTCGCTTGGCATGCACACCCTGCGAAACCATCTCTCCTGTAGTCGAAGAATCGGCGAACGCTTTCGGCTAAATAGACTTCGCGTTGCACTCTGTAGATGCTACGGTACAGCAGTAGCAGAACTGGGGTTATACAGTTTGTTTTAGGTGGCGGCACCTTGGTCACACTCTGGGATGCGCCCGCATGCTTTGCCTCTTGCCTGCATACTCTATGCCGAGAGTAGTCAGGCATAGAGTATGCAGGCATTCTTGCTCGGGTCTGTATCATTTTGCAAACATGCGGCTTATTTCCGCCTGTCGAGGCAGTGGGTGCGGTACACTGGTTCGGCCCTACTCTGACCATCTTTGCAAAATTCATCGACCACAACAGGTGAAGGGAGACAGCGTTCAGAAGGTGAACCAGGCGATGGACGAGATCGAGCGGAGAGAAAGGATGCTGCGCGTCCCCGAGGTCATGGAGCGACACCGGTACCACGAGAAGGGATACAACAGGGTGAGGCATACCGCTTGTAGTATGTGTCTTTCGTGTCGGGTGATGTCTCTTGACTTGTCGGCATTGCTGCTGGGAGCGGCGGGAGAAACACCGCACGTTCTGGGTGTCCTCGAGATCTTGAAGCGGGAGCCGTTTCGCGCGAACCGAAACGACCTGTTTGCGGGGGCGACTACTGCATGCCCGAGGGTATTGGCAGTTTTGGTCGAGGAGTCGGACGTTTCATCGAAAGGAAATCGAAACGACGCTTCACATGGAGGTTCATAAAACATGCGTAAATACTAATGATCAGGTTGTGTGGGCAGCTGCTATTTGGTCGATTGACGATTGGTCGGTGTCAAGGATACTGGGAAGTATGGTTAACGGTTCCCGTTGAAGTACTTGAGGTAGCCTTGTTTTGTGTTGCGCGCGTCATGATCAGTTGCTGCGTTAGTCGGTTGACGTATCTACAGTAGTTGCCGACAATTCTCCCATGGCATCAGGAAGACGGGTACGCCCTTGTTGGAGGCGTTTGTTTTTCGTCCTGAGGTGTTCCTACTGCTGTCCATCACGGGGCCCAGGTGCTCTATCCCGCAGAAGTTGGGTTCAAGTATGGGGAAGTATTTCGCCCCAGGACCGAGCGATGATACGATACATATCATGAACATTTTTTCTTGATAAGTACACAACAAAAGACAAGGAGTAGGCAAGTGTGCGCGCTCTCTCTTTCTATCTATCTCTCTCTCTCGCTTGCTCTCTCTCAAGGTGGGGGGGGCGGACTTGGACCCAAACGCAGCATGCCCCCCAACACACACAAGTATAATGAGAACACACAAGTACCACAAACAGACGCTGATGCCTGCCTTGAGGTTGATGGTGTCAACTCCAACCCAACCTTGTACCACGCTAACCCCCCCCCCCCCTCCCCGCCCTCTTTCCGCATTGGTCCCACCGTCACCTCGGGATTGAAAAACTCACGATGCTGCAGACAAGACGGCAGAAGTCGGGCAAGATTTGGAGGAACGAGTTCAAAGCGGTGAGTGAGGATCATATTGTTTTTGACAAAGACGATTGCGTTTGCTGGATATTTGTGTATTTGTTGTGAGAACTTTCGGTTTTGCGGCAAGGCTCGACACACACCTGGGTACGTGCTGGGCACATCGGCTCGGCCCCAAACTTGCGCAGAGATCCGATGTGCCCAGCATGTACCCAGGTCATTAGGTAGCTCCTCACCGTTGTCTACTAACTCTAGCTGCTTTGAGAGCTGGTCGTTGTTCATGGCCGTGATGAAAGAATAATGCCGTTTGGCATGAAGCGCACGTGCGCGCTCGAAACGACCCCGGTGCCTCCTCAGTATTATTGGTACTATCGACTGCCAGCCTCTCCCGATTGACCAATGGCTATGGCAGCGTGACGGAAGAGGGAACTGCTGTACATTCTTTCAAAGATGCACTGGCCTGCGCCATACGTGTTGCACTCTGCTATTGGACACAGTGAAAACCTGACGAACACAGACGACGCACGTCTTTCCTCTCGCGCGTGTCTCTTGCCGCACGTTTCTCTCTCAGGCGACCAAGCAATTGAAGTGGATGACCCTCCTCAAGGAAAAGGGCGTCCCCATCCCGGGGCAGAAAGTAGGAAGGAGGTAGCTTAGGATAGGTTAGATCCGTTCTTCGATTTAAGGTAGACCAATCAGTCGCTTGCCTGGACGCGGGGGGGGCTCTCGATGTTCTTTACGTTGGGGATTGGCTAGAGGGAAAATATGGATGGGTTAGTTTGATTTTGCTGTTGAAAGAGGACGGGAGAAACAAGACACCAAGTTGCCTACCAACCGATTGGTGTCTTTGTGGCCGGCACTGGTGACTGAGCGGTGTTGCTGCGGCAGACACCCCAAGCGCGAGCAGTTGCAAAGTTCTGAGCAACTTGCCCAAACGGTGGATGGAGAACACCTCATCTGGCAGACTGTGAGTACAACGGTTGGAGCTTGGGGGCTGGGAAAGAGCTCCAAAATTTTTGTGTGTGCTGGTGAAGCTGCAGCTGTGGAACTGTTGGTGTTGCAGTTTGTTGTTGACTTGGTAGGAGGACAATGTGCACACACGCGTCGCCGGGCACACTCTTTGCACGTGAGCCGAATCTCCAAGCAAGGCACAGATGGCCAAGATCGATTTTTTTGTTGGCATACTACGTACTTCAGCAGTATTTTCAAGTTGGCCTCCGGCCGTCCTCCAAGTCTGTTGAAAATAGTCCGTTTTGTTGGGGGGGTAAAATAACAGATATCTAACTGTCTGCATCACCGCGACCCCGCGTTACTTGATGTCTTCCCCAAAACCCAACATTACGAAACCATTCAAACACACAACGGCATTCCCTCTCTCAACTCCCCCCACAGCCATATAGATTCAGCCAAACTTCGATGAAGTATGGCACAGCAAAAGTCTGTTGTAGATGATGACAGTAGAGGTCCTGTTTAGTCCCGGTGTGTGTGCCCAGAATGTTCACCACTATACCGGACCAGCACTATTCAAAGTATTGACAATGACTTGGACATTAGTGTGTGCCCACCGAAAACACTGGCAGTACAGCAGTACACCGGGCACCAGCACGAAAGAGGGATGGATCTCAACTGCTGCTTGCTGCTGTAGAATACCATTGAGTACCGTACGATGCCATCGAGAACAACAAGAAAGAGATCGTAAATTGCAGGCACCAAGCGGTGCACACTTTAGGTCAGCAGGCGCAGGTGCATGTACCGCCACTCTGAGTGGTATAGCTTCTACCGCGCATCTACAAGACGCGACAGCCCGATATAAGCGGCAGTCCCACTATTGAGGGCAGAACACGCGTACGTGGCTCCTCCTCGTGATTCCGCGGAGCCTCTCTGTTCGGCGCTCGCGATGTCAGTCACTACCCTTGCCTTCGACGCCGGATCAGCTTGGAATATCAGCCCAGCCTCTACCTCCACTCACGTCCTCTAGGTAAGAGTCCTCCCCTTTTCCCTCTCAAGCCCTGGCCCTCCAGTTTTATTTCTTTGTTCAGCCGGTAGGTCGAGGGTCCGTCTGACGACCCTTATTCTCCCTGGTCGGCGGGGCGGGCAAAAGAAGGTTCTAGAGAAAACACATCCGTTTCGAGCAAAGCTCCGAGACATGTCCAGAGCTGTTGACCGCTCCGTGAACCCGCCCCAACCTCAAGGCTGGCGTGGCCTGAAGGCTACTTTGGCGGAGAGAAACTGGCTCGTTCTAGTGTGCTTCTCTGCGGTTATGGTGTCAGAAGCCAGGCACGTTCCCTTGCAAACATGGGTTGTGCCTACTGCTGCTTGCAACGCAACTCCCCAAGTCCACAACTGCAACTTGCCTGCTGGACGGGGCGCGTACCCCCACAGCAGTGAGGGTCCTCGACTCACGCGCGCGTGCTATGGCCGCGTCTCGCTTCTCTCTTGATCCATAGTTTTGGGTTTCCCGATGTTGAGAAACATGCAGTGCTTGAGATACCGAGTTCTGTACATATCTTGGCCGGTTTGCAGAAAAACATACGATATTTGTGTTGTACCGCCCCGTGGGCGTCGTTAAAACGTCACACCTACATAGCCCGCCGCAGGGAGGTATGTAGAGCGATGATAGAGCATGACGATGAGGTCAAAGTAGGAGGCGTGAACAAAAAAAGGTCGTAATCGCTCGTAGGGGTATTGGTTCGATCTAAAAGTGGCGGGGGGGTGTTTGTACGGTGTAAGTGTAAGCGCAAACCCCTCTCCAATCCAACACCTGCAACACCCATGCGTACAAGTTACACTCGAGGGCGACACACGACCTTCCCCCTCGCTTCGGCTTATCCTACGGATGGACGGGCACAACTCCCCAGGATTAGTTTGTTTCCCACCCGACCTTTGGTACAGTAGCAATACAATAACCGTAAACCCAGGCATCCGTCGGGGTATCTCGTGGATTTCCCACCCCTCTCATCTACAGCAGTGCAGTCAAGTGTTGTCAAAGCCATGGAGACCGGTCCGCGTGTTTTCTCCCCCCTCCAACGCGTAGTGGTACTCAGTGAGATTAAGAGCGTTCGGGCGGCACGATACTGCTGTAAGGTGCATGTGCAGCTGCAGACCCATCCCTGCCCGTCAACTCGAACCAAACAAGACCCCTTTTGGATGCCGTCCGCCGCTGCTGCCGTCCGTGCTTTGCGGAGAAACAACACACGTGCGGATGACGGCGCTCGTTTTGGCATCCACAACCACCACTGTATCTATGCCCGTCATGAAGAAGCTTGCGTTCTACATACACCCTTCATGTGACAACACCCTTCCTCTCTGTTCCATCCCGCAGAAATCCCCGGGCTTGCGAGCACACTTCCGTTCGAGAGCCTCTGCTTGCCATCATGTCTCAGGACTGGAACACCGTGATGATCTCCAAGACCCGCCCCACGGCGACACGTGGCCAGAAGAACGCCGCTACCGCGGCCGCGGCACGTAGCGTGAGTGCTTGTGTGTTGTTTTCGTTTCTCGGGTCTCTCCTTGTGTCTTTCTGCGTGTGCTGGATGTTATCCCGCGTGCGGCGATTTCAGTAGGCGGCGTCCCCTTGCAACGTGGTACTCGCGAAGAATGACTGGACCATGTGGCTTACTTTTTATTGCGTCTTGGTCGGCTCAGCAGCAAAGCGGCCCATCCAAAGACTTGCTGCAGCAGAGTTCTCGGTTCTGGTCTGTGCAGTCCTCTGTCGACGCAGCAGTACTTGTTCCTGTACTGTACCGTGATGCCCGCCTTCCACGTTGACGGCCGTCATGTAAAGCAACACCAGAGGCCAACAAGCCAGCGACAAAACAAGGCAGCAGTAGTTCAAAAGCGGGAGCGTCGTCGTAGCATTTGTCTGTTCCAAGGTTTACGCCAGGTGCACCAACAGGTCCTGTATCTCCCACGCGACAAAGGACGGACTGTGTTGTCCCCCATTCCCCCCCTCCCTGTGCCATTAATCCGCCCCCCCCCTCTCCATTTTTTCTTGTCCCCCCCCCCCCCCGGTGCATTCCGCCCCCTCCTCCGTTTTTATCTCGCACATTCTCAGGGGACGTTGGACACAGAGCGCAAGTTCGCCGCCGGGGAGAACAAGAGCTCCCACCGGGGTCACATGAACATGAAGAAGCTCGACGATGAGACGGAAGAGTTCCAGCGTGAGTGGGCCCTCTGCCTGCTCAACGATTGCTGCGTCCTTTTGCGGCGAAACCCCTGTGTCGTAGAGCGTCTGAAACGTGATATGCTGTGTTGTGTTTGGTGTGCGGAAAGCTCGGGCTTTTGGTGTCATTCTTTGTTGTTTCGGCCGTTGCCAGCTTCGAAGCGGTCCGGCCGTGCGTCGAAAAGCGTGGTTGGTGGAGCAGTGGTTTTGGTGTCTTGATATTTAAGACCCAGCTTTTGGAATTTTTGTGTTTTTGTAGTCTCCGACGGAGCCAACAACTGGAATGTACGTGCGATTGAGGCTCGAGAAGAAGGTGAAAAGGCCAGGCAGCGGTCCCAGAGGAACAGGTGTACCAAGGATATTGCTTACTCCAACAACACGCACGAGTTTTTTCTGAAGATCATGTTGTGCTGACGTTGTCACCATTTTGTTTTTTGGGCGGGGGGGAGCTTTGTGCTCTCTCTGTTTCAAGCAGCACCCGGGCTGACGCTCGTGGCGGCCTTGGTTTTATAAGTGACGCTCAGTATGTATGCATTCGACGTTGTTTGTCCTTGTGACCTCGTTTCTCTTATTTTCTCCTGGGTCCGATTGAACCCCCCCCCCTCCTGCCCTTCGTGAACTCGGCAACCAGGGTTACCGTTTTTTTTTTTTTTTTTTTTTTTTTTTTTTTTTGGGGGGAACCCATAATGGGTGGTCGAGTAGATCATGTTGTGCGGGGTCGAGAAACCTCACTCCGCGCAACGGGGGATGATCGCACCACGTTGTGTTAAAATGGTCAAGCTTCCTCGAGGCAGTTACACAGTGCTTACAACTGTCTCTGGAAGTGAAAGCACCAGAAAATAAATTAAGTCATACGTAGCTGTCACCCGTACGCAAGGAAGTAAGCACAAGATGCCGAACACCCTTAGCAGGATGCAGCTCACCCTTCATGCGACTCGCCAAATACCTCACGGCGCTTCGCGCTTGGTGATGTGAGAGCCTGGTCCGGTGAGAACCCGGCGTGCTCCGTCCCGGCTTTGTAGGGATGAGAGGTCAATGGTCAAACGACTACGGCATGCACGACTATGAGTACACCCCCCCCCCTCCTGCCCCGCGCGCGTATCCCCTGTCCGCAGACACACGCGTCGACCGCGGGCTAGCTCAGGCGATCCAGCAGGCACGTCTCGGGAAAAAGATGACGCAGAAGCAGCTTGCGACGGTGAGAGACGAAATGTAGTCGGACCTTTTTTCTTGTGATCGTTCTCATTCTGCACAGCAGTACTTCCTCGTTTTTATTTTTCTTGGCTGTTTCGTTGGGTCCGTTTTTTTTTTGCACAATTGTGACCAACGGACCCACCCAACGGCTAGAATTCGGGGGAACATCTCAAGAGCCTCCGGCAGGGGTCAGGAGCAGAGGCTGTGTGCTGCCCAGAATTTGTGCGATAGGTTCGATCGGGAACGCGGACGCGGACGACGCGAGACGGGCAGCGTGTCGGCCGTGTTTTTTTTTGTTTCTTGTGGCGCTTCCCATTTTGTTGCCTTTTGTCGAGGGTGCATAGAATTTTTCGCTCTCTGCAGGTGGCCTGCTTCGAATGGCTTGCCGAAAATCCTCTCTGCGCACGTGCCCTCTTAGCTTCCTTTTCTGTTCCTGGCCTTCCTCAGAGTTTTACCGCGGATCTTTTATGGCACTACCTATTATTATCGAAATATCCCCTCATCCCCCTGCCGGCTTTTCCCCTCCCGCCCTGTCCTGCTGTTCTTTTTGGGCCTCGTGTCTTCTTTTTTTTTTTTTTCGTCTCCGCACCAACCACGCCTGGCACCCTTGGCCCCGCCATCTTGCCACCCAACCTTTCCGCTGAATAGCAAATCAACGAGAAGCCGCAGGTTGTGGGTGAGTACGAGAGCGGGAAGGCCATCCCCAACCCGCAGCTGATCAGCAAGCTCGAGAGGGCGCTCGGCGTACGCCTGCCCCGCCCGGGCAAGAAGGGGAAGAAGTAACTAAATGAAATCTATACTTTGATGAAGATGATGCGTGCACTGCGAGAAAGAAGGGGGCAGAGACGGCAGTATCAAGACGGGAGACCCTCCGCTCGACGGAAAAGGATGATGCCGCGTGAATGAATATGATGTGAGAAGCAGGCAACAGCAGCGACAGCAGCACGGGAGACCCCCAACCGGCCTCTCCGCGCGACAGGATGGTGCAGCTGCTGCCGCTGCCGCTGCCGCCGTGCGAGGTTTTGGTGGGCCCGGAGGAGCGAGGGACAACGGGAGACGGATGTAGACTATAGCTATATGGCGGGCGGCGCCTACTTGCCGCACAGCGGTGTCGGCCGACAGGCACCATGTGCACGACCGGGCAAGGAGGCAGACGTGGAAGGGTCGGGATGTTTGAGAGGGGGGGGGGGGATGGTGCCCGTTCGCGACCCGTGCCAAATTTCTGTCGACGCTGAGGTGGAGGAGGGCGACCGTGTGGTGGTAGTGGAAGACGAGGCTTGGTTGTGAATTCTGGGCATGCGGTGCAGTTGGAAAGAGAGTAACCTAGACAAGCCACCTTTTGTACAGGTTGGGCATCGCGGGTGCGCAGCGAGCGAACGAGGAAAAGAGATGGCCATGCCTGACAACCGTCCTCGCTCGTGCTTTGTTTGTGTAGCCGTTTTTGGGTCGGCGTGTGCTGCGGGCAAGCCTTGAGCGTGACGGGAGGGCTTGTACGCATGTGCGATGACGTGGAAAGGCGTTGTGATGTTGTCCGTCTTCGCACACCGCTCTTGTGAGAGTTTTAGTTGTGTTGGTCGTTGGGGGATGATGCTTTTTTTGGTGTGTGACAGCAAGATGGGGTTTCCCCTTTGCAAGAAGGAGGCGTTCGCGGTTTTGCAAAGGCCAAGGGGTTAGGGTTAGGAACCGCAAGCGCAGCTCCTCGCTCTATTGGCGGCAGCGGCGGGCACGCGTGCAGGCACGATACATAACGAGAGCGGATTGATGATGAGAGAGAAAGAGAGGCTTCTGGCCGGCCGCTCACTGTTGGCGTGCCGCGAGGGAAGGAAATCTCCTGGGCGTTGCGTAAATTCGCAGTCTCTGCTAAGCCGTGCCGCTTCTGACCGTTTTCGTGGTTGACGAGCGATCACCTTTGGCAACCAAGGTCAGGAAGGCCTACCTCTTGCGTGGGTAATGAAGCGTTGATTATCTACCTGCCGTGGGATTGTTTTCTGTGTCGTTTGTTTTCGATGTCGTGAGCACCGCCGGGTGCATATGGCGGACGGAATGGGAGTCGAACGACACGACACCAACATTGTGGCGATCGATACATACGGACGAGAAGCGTGTGCTAGGCTGGCGTCTGGTCGACCCGGAAGCCTTCTGCGGATAGCTCGCAGCTCCTCATGCTACGATGTTTTTACACACAGAAAAAAACTCCGATGGTTCGGTTGATGGGGTACTTTCCGCTTTGGGCCTCTTTTTGCCGAGATTCGTTATGTTATCCTCGAAACGAAACGCAAGCACATTCCGGGCGACACGCGCGTCGTACACACATGCGTTCAATTCCGCCTCAGTGAAAATTTCGCGCTCTAGCGAGCTCTGGAGGCCTCGTCATTCATGGTGAACACATGTTTTCTCCCTGAAAAAAACACCTGCGGGTTTGCTGCTGGAGAAATCCATTGCCATTCGGAATAGCAGCAAGGTCGACGTGAACGCAACAAACACCGCAAAACCGGGCGCGAAATGCCCCGTGTTCGCCCTCGTTGTAAAAATCTTCTCCGCCCACAGCCTGAAGAATGAAACGGTTGCTCCAAGTGCTTCCCACCGACCTTGAAGCAAGGCAAAACATAAAACCACTTCCCCAAATCAAGTCCGCCTCGCATCTGCGTCTGCCCTCTCCCACGCGTCCGCGCTCGACCAGTCCCGCACCAGCCTCTCCGCGAGGTCGCTTTCCGGCGAAGCAGAAGGCCGCCGCCCCTCTCGCACTACCGGCCCCGCCTCCGCCCGCCCCCTGTCTTCTCCCCGGCGCGCCACCAGCTGCGCCCACGCCGGGGGTGGTGCTCCGGAGGCCAATTCCGCCGCATTATTTGTTTTTAAGACGCGGCGTCGGGGCACGCTGTCGAGGGTGATCCTCCCGAACTGTCCGTCCCGGAAGGCGTCCAGCAGGAACCGGCAGCAGATCCGCCGCGCTTCCGGGGCCGGCTTCCCCTCCGCCCCGCTCTCCCGCTCCACCGCCTCCAGCAACGCCTCCATGTCATCCTCCCGCTCCCAGTCTCCCCTGTCTTCTTCTTCTTCTTCTTCTTCGTCGCCGGGTTCCGAGGCGTACTCGTGGCCGGCTTGCCGCTGCTTCCCGTGTTTTCCGACGGCGGAGGTTTCGTCGTCGTCGGATTTCGACGGCCCGGTGGTGGCGTTTGCGTCCGTTGTTGTTCGCTCGGCCTTCCCCGCTGCCTTCAGCAGCCACGCCGCGATGGCTTTGGAAGGCCGAGGCTGTTGCGCGGCGGGTCTCCTCGTCGCTGCGCCCCCGCGCGTTTGAAACGTGTCCACGTGTGTGTGCCCCCCGCGGAGAAGGACGAAACAATGGCGAAAAGAAAACAAAGAAGGGAGCAGAGTCGCTTCGGGAGAATTCGTACAGTTCGACTTTGCCTGTGGGCGTGGCATCGTCGCTGGGGTAGAGGATGAATCGGTTGCGACAAACTGCCCATTATTGTCTTGTCTCGGGCGCAGGGAGAAAACAATCTCATATACCGTATACGACACAAGATATCACACCCCCTGCACCGATTTTCAAAGCTCGATTACTCCACGACGAAGAGGATGCACAAGCGAAAGGATACGTTTTCGGAAAGCTCTCGACAAGGCGGCGTCAACGACACCACTTTCGGCGCTGTGACTCTCTCTGATGTGGAGAAATCGAGCGTTGAAAATCGGTCCAGGGGGTGTGTTATCTTGTGTCGTATACGGTGTTCAGCGGTGGCGCAGGCAGAAAACAATCTCATATTTTCAGCGGTTTTCTCACGTCCTGTGGTCTGCCTTCTCAGGGCCGAACATAACTCGGCCTGACACTATTTCCACTCTCACCTCACCACCACAAGCGTTGTCTTCTTACAAAAGGCGTAAGCAGGGGGAGGGGCGGGGGCATGATGACCACAGGTTCGAATGGCAATGTTCTTCAGGCTGATGCTGTGGGTGAATCACGAACAAAAAGCATTACATTGCATTCAGCATGCCGTTCACATCGTCGGAAAAGGGACTCGGAATGTGGAAGCCTAAGCCGTTTGCGGCAAAAAATCGAATCGTATCTAGCTCATGCATTGATTGTACTGTACAGTAGTCCCGCCCTTTTCCCCCCAAACTCGAAACCAACCTGCCCTCGACGGCGCCCTCGGAGCCGAAAGCGCCGTCACCGAACGGTCCCGTGCACCGGAAGACCTCCGGGACCTCACGACTCGCAGCATGAACCCCACCAGCACATCGGAGGGCACCGCAGAATCAGGGACCGCCCGGGTGAGCGCGAGGAATAGCCCCGCCGTCTTGCTCTCCACCCGCGGCACCATGACTCCCGGCGTGTCGACCAGGTAGAGCGGCGGGTTGGACGCGATACGGAAGGCCGACACTTGGCGGGTGACGCCGGGCATCGCACCCACGCGGGCCACCTCGAGTCACGGTATGGCACGGAAAAAGGCGGAGAGGAGAAAAAGGGGCGGCGAGGGGCGGGCTGGTTGCTAGGATGAAATCTTGCGGAATAAGCGGGCGTTTTCATCGAGCGCCAAGTATCTGAAGGCGTTTGGGGGGTGGAGGCAGGGTATGGGGGACATTTCCGGCTCGCCGCCACGGTGGTCGCTATGAGCTGAGCGGAGCACCGTTTTTACACGTCCAAAAAAACTGGATTCGTGGCGATCGAGCATGGCGTGTACCGCAGATCGCACCTACCTGGGGGAAAACAAAATGCAGAAGAAAGGTTCCGAAGACAAAAAAGAGACATCTGGTCTACGGTTGCCCTAAAATACACAAAAGGATTGTGTCCTCCCGAGTCTGGGCAATAGGTCTCGGGGCTGCAACTCGACTAGAACCTTGAGCACAAAGGCATGCTCACGCATAGGCTGTAACTCAGCGATACAGGCGTCAAGGCCTTCTTTGTCCCACCTTCCCACGTCACAAAACTGACCTCATCTCCCAGCTGATCATGTTCGTCAACGAGCAGCAGCACCGAATAACGCCCCCTCAACGCACCAACAACCAGAACAACAAGCTGCACAAAAAAAAAAAAACGCAGCATCTGGCCCCCTCAATAACCACACACCCTCAACCCTCCACAGGCCGCACCTGCTTAGCTCCCTCTCCATCCCCTCCTCCGCCCCCGCCCCTGTTGGCTTTGCCGCGGAGAAGGTTTATCAGGCTGGACTTTCCAACGTTCGGCATGCCAACCACCATCGCGATGGCCCCCGTGGTCGAAAACTCCCCCCTCCTCGCCCCCCGCTCTCTGGCCCACGCCAGCAGCTTGTTCACGTTGGTGCCCGTTCGCCCGCAGGCGTACACGGCGGCCTTGCCCTGTGGTGGTGAGCGTCACGGGGGCATATAAGTCGGGTTCTGGCGCTACTGCAAGGGGGGAGGGTTTTATGAAGCCGAAGGCGAACTGTTAGACCAGGCAGCGTTGACTAGGCTGTTGGTTTGATTTCGGCTTCTAAAAGGGCGGGGGTTGGCTGTCGGGAGACCCGTGAGCCGCTTTGGAGCGCAGCAAAGAAGAACTCTTTGTTACCGCCAGCATCTGGCACATGCTTCAATTTCTCTGCACAACAGGGGGAAGGGTTGGTTGGTCAGGCGGGGGGGTGCCCGCGCGAGAGCTACGGTGGAGCTCTAGCCTCTACCCTATCCACACCCAGGCTGCGGGGCTAACCAAGGTAACCAACGGAAGAGAGCTCAGCACCCTCCCCATACTGCGTGGTTCGCACGCACTGCGTGAGGTGCGCACAAGAAGCGCGGCTTTATCACGCACGGAATCATGTCGGGTGTGCGGACGCTTGTTGTCTTGGGAGAAGGGAATAAGGGGATGCCAGGCTGACAACAACAAAAAAAGGAAACTGAACTGTAGGCCGGCCACACAGAAGAGGCCAACGCGGGGAAGACACGCACGGCTGCAAGGCACCTGCCAATACCAGCAAAAACGAAACCGAGAGAAGAATAGGCGCCATGCTGCGCGCACCTGCTCTTTGAAGCGCTGGAGGACACGTTGCTCCAAGGCTTGGTTGCTGAGGTCGGCCTGGTTTCCGTCATCGTCGACGGTAGGGGAATGACGGAGGAAAGCAATCGCGCCGGTGGCATCACAGAGAGCAAAAATAGGGTTGGTGGCGAGCAGCACACAAATCGTTACGCCAGCAAACAAGACTGGTCAGTCGATGCTTATGTCCTGTCAAGCAGTTGGCTTGGGATGCAGCAGCGGCAATGAAGGGGTTGTATTCTTCGGCGCAGCCAACAATCATACGAAGCGTTGTGAGCGACTTGCCGATGAACCTTGCGTTGGTGACCACGGAGTTATGTCAAGGTGGAGCAGGAGTCGAAGAGATGGAGCAAAAAAAAAAAACATGAGCATGGACCGCAGACGTGTTTACCAGCATATTGAGCGCATGATCTACCAGCCAACATCAGCCCAACACCGAACAACCACATCGAAACACTAAACACTGGCAATATATTGTGTGTCGCGGTTCGAAGCAGCAAACCGTCACGCAGTTCTCCGGTTCGCGCGTCGCCGAGCAACGCTGAGGCGCGCTTGATTACGAATCGGACAACGCAGACTCGGTTCGACTTGTTCACACAGCGTTGCCAAGAAGCGCTTATCAATCACCAAGCGACACAAAAGACACACTGTCTCGCTCGTCAACCACCCACACGGCACACAACCAAGACACACTGCCTCCCTCTCGCCTTGTTGAGGACGATGAGCCGCGCCTTGCTCGGCCCGACGATCTTGTCCAAGTCCTCGTTCGCCGAGGTGAAGGGTATCCTCGCGTCGCGAACCTCGAACACCATGTCCACCTGTCCATGATATCCATGAACAAGGATAACACCACACAAGACACAAGACATCGCCAATGAACAAAGAAGGACCTACCACAGTGCCCCCCCCAAAAAACCGCGACGTAACCTCTCTCAACGGGGGCGCGCGAAAAACAATGGGCACACCCATCCGGATTGCAGGGTCCCCAACTTCAGGCCATGCGGAGAAAGAGCACGCACGGCCGTGGTCTGGGTTGATGATTGGCAACTCGGGTAGTTTCTCCACCCATGGAGCTTGAGGGCAAAATACCCCAAGTAAAACGTAGACATACGAGACCGCCATCCATACGGTAATTGTACCTCGAGGAATATCTGAGCATCGTGTCAAGTCGGCCTTGCCCTAATTTTTCGAAACGGTGGGCTACTGCTGTACAGCGAATGCCGTATTCCACAAATGGTGCGGCATGATCTGCACTACACCATTCAGCAGTACAACACACACAGCAGAGCTTCATGCGCTTGCCAATGGGCGAATGTGGCATACATGAACGGTCTGAGGACACACGATTAGAAAACAGAAATTGACTTGAACTTCCCACTCGAAAGCTCAGAGGCTACTACCCTATGTAGGCTATTAGACTACATACAACACATGCAGCACAGCGGCGTTGACCATGTGGCCAGATTGGTAACAAAACAATCATGTCACTACACATAAGCATCGTCCTAATGACCACGGCATTGGCCCTGGCCCAACAGCACACAGCACCTGCTTGAGTTTCTCCCGGATGACCTTGGTGGCCTTCACCATGTGGCCCGGGAACCAGTTCACTTTGAGCGTAGCGTAGTCCTCCTCCAGCCGCATCAACTCGCTGTCGGTGGGGTTTTCGTCCATCCCCGTCACAGATTCATGACTGCCGGTGCTGCTGAAGGACCTGCGTGGCGCTGGCACTGCGGCCACCGAGTGCTGATAGCGGTGGGTCACCGTTCGGCATCGGCGTGCCTGAGCCAATACCAGGGGTACCTGTCGTCTCGGTATCATGGCGTCCTCCCCCGCCCCGCCTCTCCCGCGCGATGATGCCCGCCCCTGGGTGCTCGTATCCGCTAGGGAGTGGTAGACGCAATGGCACGGGCGCGTTTGTTCACGGAAGATGGGGAGAAATTGTGCCCGTAGCTCACGGAAACGGCAGTAACGACCAACCACGTACTGCAGTCAAGGTGGCGCTTGTCCTCCCCCCTCCGACCTTGTGGGTGTACAAGCAGGAGTGCGGGCGAGAGCGCGAAAGCTCACACAGCACCCTCGCGCGGTCGATCTCGTGCCGATTCGAGAGAACCTCTGTGTCGATCTTTTTTTTTTTTGTCCCCCTCGAAATCTAGACTATCCTTGGTTGCAGCAATCCATCCATATCACACAGATCGTCCAATCACCAGGTGCAGAGCTCGCGAACAGGGAGAGCCAGAGAAAAAGCGCAAGACATAGCAAGGAACGGGTATCGGGGAAGCGCCTAACCACCTCTCGCCGAACGTGCTGTGTCATCATGGCAACTACCTGGTCCGTTTCCGTCTCCTCACGGTGAGAAAAGAGTCACCAGGGATACACACGATACAAGTACACAGCCGGCGGATTTTTTATTTTTTTGCCCCTCTTTTCCCCGCCCCATCAACCCGTCAAGTTGATGTTTTGGTTCCCGACTGTCCAACCTTCGCGCTTGTTGTCGGTGGAGCGACATGACGCGCGGAAATCACGGTATCTGACCACCCTCTTGTGCGTAGCCTCTCTGCGTTTCTTGGTCATGGCAGCTCTCGTACATTTGCTCCGACGGTTAAAAAAATATGTGTATAAGTGCGCCTGCGTTTACTTTCCCCGCAAATTTCGCCGCGACTGAACTTGAACAATCCGGCCTCATTCAGCGCATGATCGAGGCCGGACAACACCCAGGAGAGAACAAGCAGTGACCGCCTCCATTTCGCGCCCCTTTTGCCTGGTCCGTATGAAACAATGTGGTGCCCAAGGAAGCGGGAAGACGTATCTACACGTATCCGTATGTGGCTCGATAAAACCCGCGACCACAAGAAAGAGAGCCGATTGATTGGTGGCCGCAACAAGTGGTTGAAGGTGTTCGGTAGCGTTGTTATAATAAAATACTGCAGTACAAGTCTAATCCAGTAGTTGAACGACAGCTGGCTGTTGGACGCCGTACTCTTGAAGGTGTAGCCCAACGCCCTCTGGTGTAGCTACAACCCCCAAACGTTTTGTAAAAGCGCCTGCGTTGACTCATAATATGGCGCACCGGGAATCCGGTGGGAGAATAATCATGCACGACGTGTGTGCTGCACCGGTATCCTCCCTGCTCTGCTGTATCTTCAATTTTTTGTTTCTGGGCAACTGATGTACATGTAGTGTACCACGCCGCGTCGTTCTGTGTATTTCGTGATGTAGCCAAGCAGAGCGGGGAGGGAAAGCATTATAGCGTCGGAATGCGCGTCTAGATACGACTGGCGAGATAGTTCAGGCGGTTGCTTTGAAGGTAGCAATGATGGGCCTTCTCTGCCTTCGCCGTAACGGTGCTTTCACGAGCAGCCGAAGCGTTGGTGGCTGGTGTCCCACACGCCCGCCTGCTCTCAGCTTCGAGACCGCGAAAGCCCTCTGACGTTGTGGACGCCGTTGTACATACGACCACGAACCTTCCCTCCTGACACTGAACCGCCGTGGGATGGCCCCCCTCATCTTGGCGAGATGCCAGCGCAGTCATGAATATTTCGTAGATTAATTCCTGCCTCGATGTTCGGTTCCTGAAATCGCATACGTATGCATGTATTTTTTTGCGCGCGTCGGAACCAACGGTTTCGTTCGATAGCCAACCAAGGGTAACGGATTGGCGTAACTCCGAATTACACTGACGAACGTTTATCTGAGCAGAGAACCCCACGGGCTGAGCTGGGCAGGCGGTACAGACCCACAGCTGAGGCAAAATATTTCACTCGCGCGTCTGGCATTGTCGCCGATAGTGTCTACATAAGTGCAGCATGTTTGACAGATCGGTTGAACGAAGCGCTGGCAACCCGGAATTGATTGTAATGCTGGGGAACGACGCAGGGAGGAAGACGGGTACGGCGACGCTTCTGATCGGCTCCTCGCCGCGAGAGCCCGCGCGAACGATCTCGAAGCTCCCTCCCCCTCGCGAAGAAATCAAGCAACAGCGACCACGGGCACGCAAGCGACAACGACACAGACACCGACGACGACGACAACGCCAGCGCGAAAAAACCGAGGGTGCTCCAGAAAAACCACATGGGTCTCCGCCCTGGGTTGCCTGGCGCTAGGGTGAGTACTCTCCCCGTTCTCCTCTCTTGCCCGGGTAACGTCCGTTGGAGGCCGTGAACGCGATATGTGTTTCATCTCTTGTAGCAGATACAGCTACTGACACCATGGACATTAGATTATCCTTGCTCAAGGACAAGTCTGCGGGATGTCAAGGGCTCAATTGTAAAACACCGTTGTTTCGAGTGTCGTCTTTGGAAATTAAATGATGTGTGTAGGCGAATTACGCTGAAATATCAGCCACTAGAGTGAAAGAAAAAAGTTCTTGTGTGCGCTCTCCTCCTATGTGACTCTGGCGCCTGGTTCGTCAAATTATGTCTGTAGACTGGCGCCCAGAGCAGTCGGGGCAAACACACACACGCAGGGTCAAAAACCTTTCGGCACAGCAGCTTCGTTTCGAGTTCGACGGACTTCATGAACAAGTATTGCATAGAAAATCTATTGACAGGAGGTCCGGCGACCGTCCTCCGAATAAGGTTGTTGGATATTCGCACACGCGGATACATGTGATGCCTAGGGCAAACAGCATTGCAACAAAGCAGGACAAACAGTTGTTCAAGTATGTGTCCATACGCCCAGCGCCAGAACCGGACCTTGCTTGTTTTCGGGATTTTTCGGTTGAGAATTTCGATATGCCCCTCACACGATGAGACATGGGCGGGTAGTGGGAGGATATTTCAAGATGCTGTCGTGTACCATGCACTTGTTGAACAATGGCTTGCCATGGGATCGCTTACGATTTCACCGATAGTTTTTTTGTTCCGAGAATATATCGTTGGCGTTGTAGCGATGTTCGCCTGAGAGACAAATCGCTCATCCACCCCCCCAAGGAAGCGAAGGCGTTTTACGTCGACGGGCGGACCTCCCTGATTCTTTCGCTGTTCTTGACAAAATAAGTGGCTTTAGATGAGGTGATTTCTTGCCCCCATGGGATATCTCGAATCTGCTGAACCTTGGAATATCGTCTTCGCATTTGCTGCTCTCAACATGTCTCGCCCCCCAACCTCTCAGGTTTCTCGGGGCAACTTATGTTGGGAGATGTCCCGGAGGGTACCTCAACTGCGACTACGAGATCGAATTGCCAGAAGGGTAAGGCGCTCCGCTGTCGCACCAGCGGAGTATTTCATACCAGGCTGTCAAGTTCGAGGATTCGAGGCTTTATGTAGAATACACTTATGTAAAATATTCTTGACTTCTCTCCCGGGCAGGACGCGTGTGGTGTTGGCCGTACCCGCAGCTTGCCCAGCTCTGCTTGGAGGCGACAAGCAAACGTTGAATGGAAGGCGTTCCTTTGAGTCGAGCGATGAGGGAATTTTCGGCCTTTCTGCATGGGCTGCAAATTTGTTTTTCAGTTTGAGGAAGCCAAAAGGGGGGATCCCGTCCGTAGACCCCCGGGCCCCCCCCCCCCCGCCGTACCTTTGCATGTTGCTCATGGATGATAGCGATGCTTGTGTACAAAACCCCCGACGTATCGATCGGCTCTCTTGGCGTCTACCCCAACCAAGAAGAGGAAGTATCCACACGAAGATTGGCATCGCTCTGTCGACGAAGCTGATGCGAGTTCTGTGATTTTGAGCGCGAAATCGACACGGAGTAGCTCGCCCTCCGTCCGCTAAAACAACTGCTCACAAGCTCTCCTTGTGCACGGTTTTCAGGGTGAATCGGGCCACCGTACCCGTACCTCGTGACGGCCGGCGGAGTTGGATGAGACAGCATGCCGCGCTAAAGGTGACCGATCCCCTCTCACTCGCCTTGCACGGCTGGTTTGTGGGTGTGGGCGTTGTCTTTGCTGTCGCTGCCACGGGCGGTGATGTGAGGATGATCGTAGTGTTGACCTTTCTCCGAAGCATTCTACCTCACGCAATTCAGCAACCGTAAGCCAAAAAAAAGGGGTGTTTTTTTTTCATCGTTTTGATGGGGATTTTCACGCTCACTCTACGAGGTTTCCTACTTTTTTTTTTGTTTGTGGCTGCCTTTGCGGTGTGTGGTCGCTGTGTCGTTCTCAGGCTCAAACCAGCGAGGAAGGGCCGACGACGCGCGTGCTGGTGCTGGGGGATTCCATCACCGAGGTGGGTGCAATGGAAAGGACCTGGGAAGCATGTAGTCACAAGTCCACGCGGTTATCGTAAGTGTATGGCACGGGAAGAACGCGCGAACCACCCCACGCGCGCCGCCGCGCTTCGCGGTAAGTAGGCACCCTTGTCCGGGCGCTGTTAGCTTGCTGCGAAACCGTGGGCGTTTTCTCTGCACATCCCCCTGCATGTTTCCCCGTTTGCGCCCACCCAGGGTCTCCGCCCTGCTATGTCGGTACTCGATTGTTGTGTTTCCGAGCAGAGCGCGCTTGCCACCCTGCAGCAACTCTCTTGTCCGGCGGAGCACAGTTGAGATCGGCCCCGCCCCTTGCGCGAAATCGTTGCTTGTTGTTGCGAACCTTGTTGCCACGAAGGAGTTGCGGCCAGGGAAACGATGAGTGTGTCTGGTTTACCAACTCTTGCGGTATTCGGGGTTTAGTTTTGAGTAGGGGCGATCCGTCGCGTCTTCGCCTTTTGGTTTGCTAGCCCGACGCGGCCCCATGTGTGTACTAGAGACATTTTTAACGACCGTTCGCAGCTGCGTGTCTCTTCTCAATCTCTCGCATTCTTTCTCAATCGTCTCCGTCTGTCGTTCTTTTCGCACGTGGTTATGTTTAATACCTGTTTTCAAAGGAACTTCTCGGTACACGGGGCGGAAAGACCAGGCCAGACTGGGGGTCGCCCGCCGTATGGATGGTGAGTACAGTGGCAGCAGCGGCAGCGGCAGTAGCAGTAGCAGTCTCTTACGTATTAGAAACGAGTGAAATTCCCTCTAGCCGTTACGAAAGGTTTAAAGATGAGTGATAGCGTACACGGTGCATCCTGTGGGCGTAGCTACTGGACGATGCGTGTTACAACCGGCCGGTGACTTAGGCTAGGGTTGGCCAATCTGTTGCTCCGTACGCATATGCATGGTATTTTGTCGAACGTCATGGTAGACCTGGCTGGCCCACGACATTAGCCTCAGCTGGACAAGCATTGAATCTCCTTTAGTTTCTAGCTCGCGACGCCCCCTCGGGTCTGTCCACCTTCGTGAGTGTATGCCCGGGCTTCACGACATTATGGCCCTACCCGGTGCAAGCTTGGACGGCTCCTTGTCTGGAGTGGCCCAACGTTAGTCTCCTTGCCGCCGCCGGCAAGCGCCCGGCATCAGAAAGCAGTAGCGGGAGGTTATCGACCACATCTGGCCGATGGCATGTCCGCACAAACTGATTCGTGGTTGCTCGTGTGGGTGGCTTGATCCTTTGTCTCCCCAGCGTTATTACGCCGACTTGGGGTCCATCAACCTCGGCGTGTCCGGGGATCAGACGCAACACCTTCTCTGGCGGCTGCAGAACGGCGAGCTACCCGACTTGCTGCAACCCGAGGTACTGCTCCCACCACCCTCCCTGTCATGGTTGTGCATCTAGAACTCCCGATGAGTTCGTCCCATACGCATGCCGCTGCTATTGTTGCCGCTCTCGTTCTTTTCTTGTTGTTCATATGAAGTATGTCTAGCGTTTTCGCTTCCGCGCACCTTCGAGCCGGGGCTATTCCTCATCTTCCGCCGTGCCACGAATCCTAGTTGCGCACCACGAGTTTGCTCCGCACGCCTGTGTGCAGTTTCGCGAAGGATCCCCTTCCGTGCTTGTTTTTTGGTTGTTGTTCTTTTGTCCCTGGCGTTATGAATACCATCACACATTCTCGCTTTTCCCGGCCGAAGATGTGCTATAGGTACCCCCAAACGAGCAGCTCGGCTTGACAACCTAAAAATCGAGCTTATCTTTGTTGTTCAAGCGTACATATCGTATGCCCGTGTGTTGATGTTGGGTCTCGTTTGGTTCCCGAGCCGTGTGTGTCCGTTTTACTGGGTAAGGGCTGACAGACTTGTAGTCGGGATGACGACGCTCGTGTTCGATCGGCGTGCTCGCGCGGCTCGCAGCGTGTGCATTGTAGTTGGTCGGCAGACAGATGTAGGCCTTCCCATTCTCGTTCCCTCACTCCTGAGGGGTGAGGAGACTTTTAGCGCTTTGTGTCATTGCCTCGCCATCGACCGTCGCTCGTAGAATGCGCGTGTTTCGCTGCCCCCCCCCCCCCCCCGTCGGCGCTTCTATCCCGTACTAATGGTGCGCTGTTTTCTGTATTTTTTTCTCTCTGTCGTCTGTCGGAACCCTGAAGTCTATTCTTGTGGCCATCGGGACCAACAACCTCGGGAAGGGCATGGACGCGCAGGACACGGTCGGAGGAGTCAAGGCCGTCGTCAAGGTACAGAAACAAGTATTCTAGAAGGCAGTAGAGAGTATTCTCACCTGTACCACACACACGCTGTAGCTGCTGCTGTTGGCCACAAGGAGCGCCGCTTCACCAATCCTTCCCAAGGGGTCAATAGACCGACGAAGGCACGAGCTTGATTGAGTTGCGTGGGGTCACCCGTGGGCATAGCATTAGTTTCACACAGGGCAGCCTGTAGTCTATATATTCGCTGTTTGCGTTTAGGGTCACTTTTCACCACGAGACGGCCCTCTAACGGAGGGCTTTCCGTCGGTCACCCGACCGAATCACGGCCGACATCCCGGCAAGACGCGACGCTGGGTGTTGCATGATTTTCGACGTAGGAAGATCCAACAAAGGAAGATATCGCGCCTGTCGTTGGTGGCGTGTCTTGCAGCTAATCAAGATGTTGTGTCGTGTGTCGTTGATGTGATGGCTGCTTGCCTCCCTCTCCTCAGTACGTGCGAGAGCAAAGGCCCGACGCACTGGTGTCTGTGATGGCCCTGTTCCCGAGAGCTGACCCCAACGACAAGAAAAACCCAACCCCGTGGCCGGTGATCGATGAGGTATGGCCCATTTTCTATTCCTTCGTGTATCTGGACAGGAGTGTAGTGGAACCTGTGGCAGATGATACCCCCCCGCACAAGCTTTACTCCCGCTGGACCTGTCGGAGACTCTTTGGCAACATCCCGTGGAATCAAGCAGACATAACGTGCTAAGGTCATAGCAATCCCCGAAGTGTATCCCTCCATGATTTTGCCCCGAGTTGCTGCAATTGTTGTTTAGACGTTGCTGGTTTGTTCTCGAGTATCCTTGTTCGAAATTCACTGGTTGCTTCCTACAGAGCGATCCGGCAATGTGCTTTGTTTACATTCATCTCTGGCTTGTTTGCACGGGACCGGTAGATGTTTCTCTTTCATCGATTTCTATAGTGGTGTTGAATTCACGAAGCAAGCCGTCGCGTGCTTTTCTGTTGTGAGAACAACATGCACGTGGTGTTCCTGCCTCCAACGTCATGCATGAACACGCTCATGCAAAAGCTAACGCGCCCGGGATACATTTTCGTTGAAATGCATGTACACGACAAAGGTGAACGGATTGCTGGAGCACCTGCTGAGGCTCAAGTTCGGCACGAAAAAGGTTCACTTCATCGACTGCAATGACAGGTATTTTGGTAGGCTATACATTGGCGTCTGTCTGTAGGCCCCCCCCCGTCGGATTCGTTCGTACGGCCTTGAGGTTCACAGGAGTGAACAACACAGCAGCATGCTCATGAGGGGCGTCGCGGGAGAATCGGATACGTGGAAGCGTTGCCGGGGGAATCTGAAACCGAAACCCTTCGTAGAAACCCTTCTGTATTGCACGTTCATGGCAGCTGTACAATACGATGCAACCCCCCGAGGATTCGCACCCAGAACTAGCTAGCTGAAAAACTCTAGGCTGATGCTTCAGCAACAAGGAACGTGTTGAGGGAAGCGCACGCTCCACAGTGAATCCTCTTGAGTTGCCAATGGTTGACATTCGCCCCACACAAGAAGTTTGGCTGAGCCTGATCTGTGGTTCCTTGTGATCAGATAGGATGTTCATTTGAACGATTTTCGAGAAGGAGTCTCCCGCCTTTGGCTGGAAATACGTTCTCTGCTCAAATGTCCTCCCCGGCCGGACTTCCGACCGAACCTCTCATTTTCTATGATACCGCTGCGCCATATCCCACATATCCCACAAACTACCCGGTTACACTTTTGTGGCCTGGCCCAACCTTAGGTTCTTGGCGGAAGATCGGTATGGCCGCGAGGTTCTCAACAAGGAGTTCATCCTGCCGGACAACCTCCACCTCACCGGCGACGGCCTGGATGCTTGGGCCGACTGCGCGGAAGCCGCGGTTCACTCTGGGCTAGGGGAAGGCCAACTTAGACAGTAGAGGGCCACCGTTGTCTTGCGTTTTGTAGTATTTCCGTGCGTGTGTATTGGACGCTCGCCTTTTTTCACGATGAGCGGTACCGCGTACCATGCGGGGATTTGAACAGTACACGTTTTTCTTGTTTCCAACCATATCAACAATGAGGTGGTAGCAGTGTCTGTATCGCTCTCCACTCTCAAAACGCTACATATTGAAGCTGGTTACAGGGTAGCTGTTGCAAAGCTTCTGGTACAAGATGGGGCAGTCGTGCTACAACAGTAGAGTCGACCGCGAGCCAGACGATTTTGTGCTGTTCGTGAAAGTTAGTTGCTGACATTGTTTCCCTTATTTTTTCGTGTCGTATGCGAGTTATTCATGTGACAGGCATGCCTTAGTGAGAGTGCCAAAACGTTGCCCGTAGAAAACTGTACATACCTTCCGACGTCGCCAAAGAGTTCCCTGTGTTGTTGTGCGTTGTGTCCTGTGACGAGAATCGTGTTGCATTGTTGTGTATGTAGCGAATATTGAGTATTACCACGTTTGCCTCCTGGGACATCCTCCAGGAGACTATTGTTCGCCCATGTCTTCGGGGGGCATGGGACGTGTGTTTGTCTAACCCGAAAGCCGTTTGCTGGACGCTTGATGCTGTGTAGAAAAAGAATGGCACCGTCGGCCTTGGAGATAGGGGCGACGGGGAACGAAATCCCGCAACCCCAAGGTTGACGTGTCTTTGACGTTGTACATAGCTTGATGCAGACGTCATCCCACACGACGCAAGTTTCTGTTTGAAGGGCTTGGCAAGGCTTGGGGGCGACTTTTCGGGTGTGCACCATGTATTGCGCGTAACCTATTCTTGTTTTTATTATCTCGACGGAAGAGATCATTTTTTTCGTGCTGTTAATCTCTCTTCTGGCAACACTGTGAGGCGCTGCGGTTGCGCGCGCAGACCCCCGCGGATGAGCGTGAGGTAACAACCGGACGCCTGAGCGAGCCAGTTGCCCCAGTTTCTTTTCCGGGTGACCGTTGGTGTTGCTGTAGGCGTACATACCAGCAAGTGGATTTCGTCTGCCCAGGGGCGATCATGTGGCTTTGTCTACACGGGGTAGGCACAAATTTATCATCAAGGCTTGTTGCGAGATTATAGATTCCCTCCGTCTTTTAGTGAGAGTCGTTGCTGTTGGTTTTCTGCTCTTCATCGAGGAGAGCGGTTTGGATTGTTCTTTTCTCCGTCTTCGTTCTTCAAAGAAAATTCCATCTCAGTTGTTTCGGTGCAAGCACATATGTAAACGAACGTCGACACCCGGACCTAAAGTGACTCTGCCAAAACTGACTGGCCGAACTCCGGTGTTCCCACGCCAATTCGGCTGGAAAAAAAACTTTTCCCTTTGACGTCAAGGAGATGATGGTCTTTCCACATTTAGCTGGGGCGGCGCACGCCGCCGAGATCCTCCTGGTTGCCACACAGCAGTAACTCGTTATTGGTGCGGGGTTTTAGTCTTCTACCCCCGGCCTTTGAACGGCGTACGTACTGGAGTGATGACAACCAATCGAATGTAGACTGCTTTGAAAATATGGCAGTAAGAACACTTAGTGATCACACACGAGCTAGGACCAGTTGGTAAGTGTTCTGCAGGAAGCTCCTCCAGTTGTGGCACAGAGCATCAGCGGGCTCGGCTTGTCTGTGTACTGTAGCAGCCTCGTCTATGCTCACCTCTTCTCAAACCAAGACAAACCAAGACTGCAATTTTTCACCAGTGGTCAAAATTAAGAGACAGCAGGCGACACGGGCAGTGCCTCAACAAGTTAAATGCGCAACGTACGGAAATCAGTGAGGACATCATGGAGAAGCGAATCTGCGCGTTTGCACGCCCAGATCTGTCGAGACTGCAGCTCGCTGTGGTTCGAATGTCCGGTCACCTCTTGGTCAAAAGCCATCACGATGCACTGCTTGTACGCACCCTCACAGACTCAAACCTCTTGACTGCAGGTGAACAGCAGTGTAAGTCAAACCACTAGCTTCCTTGGGTGACCAGCAGCTTGGGGGGATTGGGTCTGTGACGGTACCTACCGCAGTGGACCGTGCACGGGACCTACAGATGCGACACATGTGGGGATGTGTGCGGACATCTTGGACCGCATCACCTCTGCAGTACTGTTGCAGGATGTCTTGAGGTGCTGGCACTGCGGCCGGCGGTTGCTAATGTTGCTGAGGGCGGGGAGTCAACGATCTGTGTCGGCGTGCTCGAGCCTCCAAGCACCTGCCGGCCATGAAGTCCCTCCTGTGTGGTAAGGCAGAGTTCGAGCAGAAGACGTTGCGTGCAAGAACGGGCGTGTGTCTTTCTGCTGAAGATGGGAGGACTTGTACCCGTGGACAACCAAGCACATCACTCGAGGTGGTGCTTGTCCTCCCCCCTCACCCCTCGTGTGTGTGCCTATTGTAGCGTGCGCAGCAATGTGCAAAACACGCGGATGATCACGTGCCGGTTCGGCAACCCACCTCATCGTTCCCCGTGCCCCCCTGCCTCCCGGCCTCCCGGTCCCTCCCTGTCACGTATTTTTCTGGCTCTTCCACCCGTACATACCATCCAACCGCGGTTCAGAGGTATAGAAAAAAACAGTGGAAAAAAGCGCAAGATACACACGTGACACCCGGGAAGCGTTTGTTGAATCGCCTCTGGCCGAAGGCACTACTACCATGGCGACTACAGCGTCCGCTTCTCGGTAAGTGCCACACTTCAACCTACGGACACAGCAGGCAGTGGACAGATCTGCCGACTAAACGGGCTGAATTTGTTTAATTCGCCGTGTCTTTCCCCGCCGCTAACTTGATGTTGGTTTCCGACCCCTCCTTGAACCTTGAACCTTAGCTTGTTGTCGATGCGTCGGTATTGCGACGTTATGCATGGGTAGCAGTGGTGAGTGTACAGCCCTCCCGGTACTCGTCCGCGTTCGCTACGGTTCTGTTCCGTTGAGGCATCTCTGCCGGCAGGCCGACGGCGGGTGTGCGCTCCTACGACAGAAGCCGGCTGCGTGATGTGGAAATCCTCACCATTTGTAATTCCGACTTTCAAACCAAAGGGCAGAACAATCCAACGCACGGTGCAGGGTGCCGGGGGCAGCACCCCGCGAGGCAAGGAGTTGACCACCTTTATCGCGAGCTTCTTCCGTTACCAAGCGAAGGAAACTCTGCTTGCTGCTGCTGTGCCCAGTGAAGCATCACGGCATTGGTACCACCAATCATACATATCAAGTCAACCTGTTGCCAGGGCTTGTCACCCTGGTTGAAACTGTAGATACTGCTGTAATCACGTGGGTCGGTAGCCACCGCAGGGTGCGTAGCTGACGACACTCTGCTGTAGCATGTCCATTGGTGTCGAAGACACATGCCGGGAACCCGCACGGCATAATCATGCAGGGGTCATCATGCAGGGGGTGTCCCACACCAAGATCCTCGGTGCTGATAGGCTAGTCGAACTGCGTGCTGTATGTACTTCAGTACCGATGTAACATGTACACACACTGCTGTGTTGTAGACATGTACAGCAGTAGCAGCGCGATGATATTGGGAACAAGGAAAAGGGCCGTTGCAACAGAAACTTGCAAATTCAGAAATAACGTCAACATCGGTCCAACTGCCGAAGTCTTGCATTTCTTCAAATGGTTGAAATGTGTTGAATGTCGCATGCTGCTGATTTCTGATTTCCTTTTTTTTTTTTTCTTGAGTACGAGTACTTTTGTACTGGAATACCTACAACACACACACCTGCGCCGTCGACCCGACAGCTCGGTGTAGACATTGGTCGGGGGTTGTCGCCCTCCTGATTCTCTCCTCTTGGTTCGAATCTAGCACCACCCACGCCCCAACCGCTACCCGTTTTCTTTATGTCTTGTTTTTTGGGATACTGCTGTATATCGCATTACCCTTCTTTGTCCGGCAACTACAACACACGCCACAAGCAACTTGGTCGAACGTGCCAGAGCCTACCGATTGTGGTGTATGTATCTATGAGTGGCGTTTCATGCCTTGACAGCAAAAGCAGCAGCACCACGCAACCAGAAAACGGGTCTATTAGAGGTGTTACTGCTGTGAACTGCTTCGTGTAGAGCATGCAGCAGCTTGAGTTCTGACCAAAGTGCCCGATCTTCTGGGTACGTTGACCCGTGGCCGTCGTCCTCCACGTACATACTACGAGTGTATGCCCGGTTGAAGAACCAGTGATTTTGGCGCTGGCTCTATTGTGATACTTAAATCCAATACAAAGAAAAATATCAACCTTCCCGCAGGAGGGGCCTGGTGCGTCCTACTGTCATCGGTAGAGGACACCGCGAGGACGCGCCGTGCGTGCTGGCACGTTCAGGTTCGCCACTGGAGCTGAAAAGTCGAAGGTCGCAGCAGCCTCTGAAAACAGTCCGAAATCTGTCACAACCCTAAACCAAGCGGAATCCAAAATTTGTCACAGCCGTGCTCACCGCCAACGGACCGTAAACCCATGAACGGAGGTGCTCCAAGGTGCTCTTGCGTTGCTTTTCAAAATTTATCAACGTCAATTTTTTTTTGTCATCTTCCCTCAACACATGCAAATCAAGCCAGTCTGGTTCACGGCGCGTTCTCCGATGTACCAGAGGTTGTTGAATGTTCGATCTACGGTCCACAAATGTTGGTGTTGAACGAGACCTTTTTTGCCCCCACCTTACAAAGCTGCTTTTGAGAAAATCCCTCTCTCTACATTGTACCGAAGTAGTTGTTTCGTCTTGTTTGTTAAGCGCCATTGTTCGCTTTCGCTTTTGCAACGCTTTTTTTCGTGAGGAACCTGGCGCAGCCGTAAGAAAGTGCGTCTGTTCTCAAACCCATTTTTCACATTTGTCGCGTGAAAGATCGAACTTTACAAAATTTTTATTTACCTCGGTGTGGACGTGTGTAACACTACAGCAATGCTTTTCGACGGCCTGTTCAACTGGCGACGGGCTTGAAGACGAGCCTACAGTAGTAGTTGTTGGCCGCCGTCCCCTTTCGCCGTTGAAAAATCACGTGTGGTGGGTGATCAGTGTGCGGCTGCGGTGGAGGCCTAGGCTACACACACGCGCGCCGATAGCTACACACGCCCGGCTGCTAGATACTATTGCTGTTTCGGCTTGTGGAACAACATGAAGAGCCCTTCGGCTTGCGGACGTCATTGCACGAGATGTAATTGAGCCCCCAAACTGCAAATTTTCGAAATACCCAAAACCTAGAACCTAAACACAGCCATCTCTACTATCGGGCCAAGGAGGGGGTAAGCTGTCGAAAGCACCAAGAACTGGCGTTTGGCGCGAACGTCTATCTGCAGCAGTGGCTGACCAATACCTGCTGCATGTGGCACCGCTGGCGAAACCGTCGGGATTTTTTTTTATGGTGATGGGGGTCGAAGCAGGGACGGAGACGAGTTGTACGGCGGCGAGGCTTCTCGCCGGCTCCTAGCCGAGGGTGCGCCCGTGAGTGACCTCGAGGCCCCCTCGCGAAGAAAGCAGGCGACAGCGATCAGGACAACGGCTGCCGCGACAACGCAGCAACAAACCAGCCGGTGCTCCAGAAAAACGGCGTGGGTTTCCACCCTTGGGGTTCTCGCGCTGGGGTGAGTTTTAACATTCCGCGTAGCCCCCCGTTGGACGCCTTGTTGGTACGCGGCTTTGGTCTCATTTCGTGTATGGTAGCAGGCACGCATTTTTGTTTCAAAGAAGACCGTTATGTAGATCAGATGGTGCTCGTGCAACGATATTCCCGTTTCTACATGTACCATGCATTTGGAATGCCGAGCGGGGGTAGAGTCAGAACAACACTGTAGCAGCCCTAACGTAATGCCACGTCGACAGCCGTGGCCTCTTGAGCACTCTCGATGCTTGTTTTGCTGGGGTTAGGTACCACGAATCTCCCGTCCATGAGCTATTTATGATGGACATAGACACGAAGTACATGTACACCTAGTCAAACAGCAGAGGCGAATCACACCGGAGCCCTCCTTCAAAATAGGTTTCGGGTTGTTTTGAATATGGGGACGATGCGGGATATATCAACTGGTTGTCGTTGCATGTTCGTACACTTCGCCGCAGTGCCGATTTTTTACTAGTTTCTGGATCATTTCCTGGTAGTGTCCGTGGGACCGATTCGGCCCGTGTCCTGTTTGTGCGGTTTTGGAGCTGTCGACAGACAGGGGTAGTCTCGGAACACTTCCACAGCTGGCGACCAGCGATCAGCACTGCCGTGCGCCTGTTTGTGGAGGTACAGTCATTGCTACCCCGCCAGCTCGAAGAATCTGCAGAACCTGGGAACTGCTATCTTCGCGCTGCTGTCTCCTGGTATGTCTGTAACGCGAGCATTGTTTGCCCCACCCCCCCGCAGGTTTATCGGGTACGCGTTTTTCGGGAGGTGTGGCGCGGGGTACGTGAACTGCGACTACGAACTCGAGTTGCCGGAGAGGTAAGTCGGCGCGCTGCCGTAATAGCAACGCCGACTGGTTGATTCATGCGGATGCCAGTCTGGACCCGCTCCGGGGTTATTTTTTTTTTCTGGCTCCGGGCATCGCCCGCCGGCAGTCTGAAAACACGGTAGTTTCTAAACTGATAGGCGTCCTTACTACAACTACAATAAAGGATCCTTGGATATTTTTTTGAGCAGGGAGGCGTAGGTCTTGCATTGTGGCAGAGGAGTTTGAGTAGGGCAGGGAGGCGTAGGTCTTGCATTGTGGCAGAGGAGTTTGAGTGATTCCATGACCTCCCGCCCTTGTAGATCTCTTGATTTTGACGTCACGTCAAGCATGGCCGGAGTACCGCGTGAATTAGCCGCCGTCACCGCAAGGTTAGCTGCTCGTGTTTTGCACCACCTACCGATCGGCTCTGTTGGCGTCTACCCCGATAAGTTGCACACTAGTTTGCTTTGTAGGGAGGTGCATGGGCATGGTTTGTCGCCCGCGGCGACCCTACGTCATGCGGACTGTTCGCATACGTGAAGAGCGATGTGCCAGATGGTACAAGGGGTTTTCCTGAGACGATGTGGTGGAAGGATTGCTTGAAAACCGTGCACACTTAACGTTCTTTGTTCATCGAAGTCATCGAAGTCTAGGCGCCCACTCGTGTGCACGCACGGGCGTCAGCGAACGGCCCTCTCAAGTAGCACGAAAGGCTGGGCGCAATCCAATTCCACCGCGATAGCGAAGGCAGATAATCATCTACGCGAAATGGGAGACGGGGTCTTTGACGTGGATGATGCTAGGGTACTCCGGCTGTTGGGACTCGATTTCGCCATGGGCTTGCTGCCGGAGGCTTGCGGTAGAAATAACGCAAGAGTTGTTTTCCTTCCATTCCCCCGGCCTAAACCCTCGAGTTTCCCCGCACGATTGTCAGTGTCAACCGAGCTGCGGTACCCGTGGGTCGTGAACTGCGGCCGGGTTGGATGAAGCATCATGCCGCGCTAGTGGTGAGCGATTCCCTCACGCTTGTGTCGCACATTTTAGTTTCGGTGGTGCATGTGGGCTTGGTTGATGGTGGTGGTGTTCATGCTGTTGTTGCTCTTGGTTTGTGGTGGGGGGGGTGCTGTGATGGGCTGAGCGTGGATTTCGCCTTCAAGTTTTTTTTGCGTACGGCGTGCAAATCAGCAACTGCCTTCGTTTATGGCACATCTCTGAGTTGTCCCTTTCAGTGTAGATGTACCTATGCATGCACCATCAATCTGCATCGGAACCTATGTGTCTTTGATGCACTCACCGAAATCGACCTGTCAGGCGGAAGCCGAGAGGGAAGGGGCGACGACACGTGTGCTGGTGCTGGGGGATTCCATCACCGAGGTGGGTTTGACGGAATTTCGTGGAGTGTACCGCCAAGTGGATACCCTGCCACGAAATGCATTTTTCGTAACCCCCCCCCACCCCCCGGTGCCGCTCCGCCTTGCTGTAGGGATTAACTGCCCACGTTATCGGTTCAGTGTGAAGCATCACATTCCCTGACATCGTCGGCTTGGTTTCTTTGCCGTGGTTGACTTGTTTTTTCTTTGCCGTGGTTGACTTGCTTTCGAACGATTTCGCTGCCACCTGACAACGCTTTCTCTGCCATCTCCCTCTCTCTCTCTCTCTCACGCACACATTTTTCGCTCTCTCCCGCCTATTTTCCTTCTCTCCCTGTCTCGATCTTACTCGCCCTCACCCCCTCACCCTCCCTCGCCCATCCTCTCTGCGTCTCCCCCTTACCGTCGTTGCTCTCTTCGTGAATGTAATTGTCTCGGATGTGGGTTTTTTATAGGAGCTTCTAGGAAAAGAGGGCGGCAAGACCAAGTCCGGCTGGGGTTCGCTCGCCGTGTGGTTGGTGAGTGCAGCAGCGTGCTCGCTTTCTGTCCGACTTCGTTGAATTTTGCACCAATCACGACGACGAAACCAACGGAAATGAATAGCTCTTCTACAATGTTCCGAACCCCGTTTCCATCGCCGCGCATGGTCGTGTGTGTCTGCGTGCTTTCGTTCGCCATTTTCCTCCCCTCGATCCCAGCAATACTTCGCGTATCTGGGAGCGATCAACCTCGGCGTGGCTGGGGATCAGACGCAACACCTTCTCTGGCGGCTGCAGAACGGCGAACTGCCCGACGTGCTGCAACCTGAGGTACTGCTCCTCCCCCCCTCCCACCTGCCATGGTCTTCACGCCCTCTAATAGTCATTCGGTGGGCCCATGCGTATGTCCTGTCGCCGTTGTTGCCGCTGTCATCTTCTTCACGGCTCGTTGTCTCGAATGTTTGGAAACTTTTGTCCCTCTATGGCGTTGGTCATCCGTAAGGGTAGGTCGATTTTTGGTTGTCTGCCGGTTGATCCGCCACATTGCTTGTCGATCTGTTTTTAGGTCAGAGACGGGAACCTGGTGACAGATGTACCGACCGAATACAGCACTAGGGTGACCGGAAGCGTTTTGGTTATCAGCGAATTTCACGGCACCGCTGACGAGACCGTTCGTACGCGTCGAAAGGAGTAGTTGCCCTCACGTGGCTCGAGGGAAGCTGCGTCGGAGGGGACTACGCATTTTTTTGTAGTCAGGGGGGGAGTATGTTTCTGAAATACAACTTGAATTTTCCGGCAATGTTGCGATCACAAGACGTTCGAACTTGCGGCTATGCTCCCGTCGCTATTTCCGCGGAGCCCCTGACCCCGGTTTCCCACCATGGTTTTCTTGCAACACGGGTCCTTGTCGGCCGCAATTCTGTCGGACACGTGAAAGTCTATCCTTGTGGCCATCGGGACCAACAACCTCGGGGCCGGCATGGATGCGCACGACACTGTGGGAGGCGTCAAGGCCGTCATCCAGGTATGGACACAACGAAAAAAACGGGTGGCTTGACAGTTGAGCGCATGCGCACTCATACATGTACTGTGTACATGTGTGTAGGCGACGCGCAGAGAGCGCCGCATCACGGTCACGTACCAGGGGCCAAGAGGCCGCCCACGCTTTTTTCGGCGGGGGTTTATCGTTTGTCTAGATGCACGCGTCGCCCGTGTGAATCTGTCTTTGCAAGATTCGTCATTCTTTCTGGCTTTTTTTTTTTTTTTTTTTCGCCGGTTTGGACGGGCTTCGCGCGAATGACCAGCAGGGGCTGTACACGGCTACTAGACGTTGCTCTCTGTGCGTGCGTGCCCGTGAGAGATGACCCTGTTCAATGGACGTCGCCGTCGATCCATTTGCCGACGCCACTGACAGTCACCCTTGTCGACATCCCTCTTAACGTCGCAGGATGGTCATATCTTTTCCTACACACCGTGTCTGCGTCAGTTGGACCAATACGGTACTAGAAGGCACTGAGCGTAGACCGTAGCGGTTTTTTATGTGAAGACAACAACAGCAACAACGACGAACAGCAACACCCCCAAAATTTGATGGTGAAACGCGTGGAAAATTGTTTCGTTTGTGACCGGATGGCTGCCTCTCGCACTCTCCTCAGTACGTGCGAGAGCAAAGACCCGACGCGATGGTGTCCGTGATGGCCCTGTTCCCGAGAGCTGACCCGAAGCACAAGAAGAGCACAACCCCGTGGCCGGTGATTGATGAGGTACGGCCCATCCTCCTACCCCTTTTGAACTGGACAGCGGCAGTGGGGAGCTATGGTATCATCGTTGTTGAGGCCTCCCCACAGTCCATTTAGCCTTTCTTCCTCCTGGCGGATTGAGGCTACCCGACAAACGGTCCTTCGAGCAACAGGAATGGCACTCCCTGTAGATCAACCCCGCGCATTTTCACCCACACTGAAATAGCGGCTGCTCACAGGATTCGTGGCTGGTCGGGTGTGTTTCTACATTTGTTTTTCAACCATCCTGCTTCGCACGTTTTTCTCGTGTCGGGCATGCCTCTACATGTCCGCAAAGCATTGCGACGACGATAGTCGGCAGTGTTCCACGACGGGCTTGTTGTTCCCCCTTTCATTGGTTTGGATAGTGTTGGTTTGTTGGCCCTCGCGGAAGGCAAGACTGTGGGGTAGATAGAGAGCGAAGCCAAGCATGCCGGGTGAGACTGACTGCACGTTGTGCTCAAGGAGGAGGATCGGGGGGAGCAGCTGACTCCTTTCGCTGTAGCAGTATTCCCTCTTGGCGCTCTAGAACGTGACTTAGCTTAGCCGCCACACCGACGACCACGCAGATGTTGTCTTGCTGTCGCAATTCGTCACAACAATAGCCCGAACCGTTCATGCGCGTCCGAGTAGACGAACGGATGAATCGCCACGACTGAGATCACAGCCACTAGATCCGTCTTGCCGCCTCCAGCCTCAAGAGCGAAACTTTCGTCCGTCTTGCGTGCGTTCGAGCCATAGGGCTCTATTCGCGAGCAGTGAAGCAGGGTTTCTGACCCCAGATTCTTTTTCGATGTTGATGTGCTTTGCTTGTGACGCGAACGAACGCCGCTTGTAAAGGTTAACGGGATGCTGGAGCGCATGCTGAGGCTGAAGTTTGGCACGAAGAAGGTTCTCTTCGTGAACTGCAGTGACAGGTACAACATGGTATATATCTATTTGCACGCCTGCTGGTGCGTTGCCTGCGCCCCCTCCCCCCTTGCAAGTACTGGTGCTGGTCGTCTTGTATTGGCGCCTTCTGCGGCTGAATGGCTGTCTAGCCTGGCGGTCGGCGCGGCCGTTGCTGCGGTGTCCCAGGCACTGCACCCAACAAATATGATAAGCGGCGGATGTCGCCTGTTGCCACAGCTCAGGCGTAAAGAACAACCGGGATCGATGGGGATTGCTCTCGGGTTTGTGCGGTTCCGTCCACCGTTCGGCCGAGGCCTGTACCGGCGGCGACTCGACTTGTGACGGGCGGCAAGTACCATTTTCCATTCCGCGATTCGCACCACAACTCCGCCCTCGTCAATCCCCCTGTCGCGCTACACCGCTCCACGAACGAACCGTGTGTGTGGCCGAACCGAACTGTAGGTTTGTGGTGGAAGACGACTCTGGTCGCGAGGTGCTCAACAAGGATTTCATCCTGCCGGACAACCTCCACCTCACCAGTGACGGCCTCAAGGCTTGGGCCGAGTGCGCGGAAGCCGCGGTTCACTCTGGGCTACGGGACAACTAGTAGGATGAAGCCAGAAGGGGGACTGTTTGTATGTTGTGTTGTATTCGGTGTGTGTACAAGTTGGTGCGATTGCGTGCGCGTGTGTGAATAGTCGACATGCCCTTGTTTTTTTTACAAAAGTATGAGTTTTACACCGAGCGGGGTAGTCGACTGACTGGCGTACATTTTTACTGTCGTATTTTCAGATATTTTCTAGAGGTGATGATGCCGACAGCGACTAGCTGTCCAACCAACGAGCTTCTCCTGCCGGAACGAGGTAGCTTTTGTCTCTCTCCTGTTTTAGGATGGGGGGCAGCAGGTGTGCTAGTGACGGCAGGCCGATTTCTCCGTAGAGTGTCGTGCGCTCTGGTCTCATTTCACTGTGAATTTGTGACTGCCGGTTGATTGAGCGTCTGATGTTTTCGCGGAATGAATGTGTTGGTGTGAAATACGAGCCCGATTGAGCTGCTGTACATAGCTTTCATTGCCGATCAAGGGTTCCCTGTGTATATTGTATCTGTGTGGTAGTTTTTTCTTGTGACAGACTTGTCGTATCCGTGTATGGTATGATAAAACACCGGACATTGTTGTGTCATTCGCACGAAGCACCACGTGTTCAGAAGAACACGCTTGGGTTCAGGGGGCGGGGTTTCTGAGATAATGCTGTTTTTTCTCCATCGGCTTTCTGGACTGTTGATGCTTGATTGAAATGCCACCATCATGGGACTTGGAGATCAGAGACGCTTCCTGTGAACACCTCGCAACCGCAAAGGTTGGTGTCATGCGTGGCTTTTCATGAAGAGCCCCCAAAACGGCCACCACGCAAGCCGACTATTTTGTTGCTGGGACGTTTTGTTTCGTGCATATGCGGCTAGGGATGGGAGGTGGATGCAGCAGACGTTTGTCCTTTGTTGTTCGTGTTTGCCTGCTGTTTTCCTTTACAATATTTCTTAACGTCAGTATGTGTCGGTGAGACGCGGTTATCTCCTGGTTTGACTCATTTGTCAATCTCGTTGGGTAAAGCTTGTGGGGAGTGTACCTACCTGTTTTTTTTTATTGTTTGTGAAAATTGAAACAGAGGTAGATCAGCTCGTTTGTGGAGCGTGGTCGAGGCGGAGATTGTCTCGAATGAACGTGCTGCAGTGCGTCGCCCGCTCAAAGGGGTTGCCGTGCCTCAACTATCGACCACATCCTATATTCTAGAACACGCCCGGAGGGTTTACTGCGAAACCTTGCTGGCGGCTAAGCCCATTTTCTTGCCATTATAGTCTTCGGTACACGCGAAAACAATTCTGAACATGTAGCCACCCCTTCCCCGGGAGGGCAAATAAATTATTTTGGTTCTGTATAGGAATTAGGATTGGGGGTCTCGTTCACGAAAATACCTCGTCACCCCCCCTACTGCAGAGGTTTTTCTATCCACGGTGCCCCTTACGAGAGTATTTAGAGATTAAGAGCAAATAAGACCCCCCCCCCAAGCCAATGAGTAGATCATGTTGTGCGGGGTGAGAACCCCCACTCCGCGCAAGGGGGATGATCGCACCACGTTGTGGTAAAATGGTCAAGCATCCTCGAGGCATTTACACAGTGCTTACAACTGTCCCTGGAAGTGAAAGCACCAGAAAATAAATTAAGTCATACGCAGCTGTCATCCGTACGCAAGGAAGTAAGCACAAGATGCCGAACACCCTTAGCAGGATGCAGCTCACCCTTAATGCGACTCGCCGAATACCTCACGGCGCTTCGCGCTTGGTGCTGTGAGAGTCTGTTCCGGTGAAAACCCGGCGTGTTCCTTCCCGAATTGGTAGGGGTGGGGGGTAAATGTTTTAAGGATTAGGGCATGCAGGATTTTGGTGTCCCCCCCCCCCCCCCCCGCCAGGAACGGCCATACCACGCCGATCGCACCACATCCCGTCCGCTCTGTGAAGTTAAGCGGCGTCGGGCCAGGCTAGTACTACGGTGGGGAACCACGTGGGAAGCCCTGGTGCTGTTCCTTTAAACTCCCTGTTCGCAAAATTTGAATAGATAGGTTGGCGTCGAGTGGCACCGACGCTGTAAAAAAAGCCACCAGCCCCTTAGACATGAAATAATTGAACTAACAACCAATTTTTTATTTTCCCATACCGTAACACAAACAAACCCGCCAAGCCAGACATGAAAGAGCTGAACTAACCGACCTTTTTATTTTCCCATACTGTAACACAAACCTGACAAGCCAGATATGAAATAATTGACCTAACCGACTTTTTATTTTCCATAACGTAACACAAACATGACAAGCCAGATATGAAATAATTGAATCCAACGAAATACTTTTCCAGACGCTTGACCTATATATTTTTTTTTCCCACAGTTGAAAACGCAAAAGTATGCAAGAGTAGAACGTTATTGGCCACCTTACACACCAACACGAAAACGGAAACGAAGCATAAATATAGACACAGCAATCCTTTTGGTCAAATGTGCGATGCACATGAAGGTTGGGGACTCGTGGTGAGATAACCGTAAAACAATACCGGTTCCCATTGGGCGGTGGGAATCTGGTCAGACACTATCCTAAATTCTCCGCAAGGAGAGGGGTGGATAATGCAAGACAAAATGTCAGACCTAACATACTCAAGAACCTTGTTTTCAAATGACCGACCAAATGACCCAAAAGAGAAGGAGCACCTGTTGGAATATTTCGCACTACCGTAGCTTCAGCATTAAGTAGTCAGTTTGACTAGTTCAAATATTGTCAATGTCGCTATGTCATGTAGTAGGTAAAATTCCGTCTGGTCTGTCATACTCGGAATATGGAGACATGGTTGATGTTCTGTGTTTCATATCCAGAAATAATCTGCATAGCCTAGATTTCCAGAAATATGTCAATCGTGCAAGTAGCTCAGGCTTGCGTGCTCGGAAATATATATGCATCGGGTAGTTGTCGCAAGTGCCTCTGACTTGTGTGTATGAAAGGATATGTACCGCCGCAAGTAACTCAGACTTGCGTGCTTGAATGAACGAATATTTGTCTGCGCTCAGCAGTCGAATTTGGAAAGTACATTATTAGTTCAATTGTTGAAGCTGTATTCTGCGGTTTGTCGTACGTCAGTGCAAGTAATCACTTGTGCGTGCAAGTACAATACTTGATGTGCATACGTGGCACAAGTTCGAGAGCATGGTGTTGAAGTAATCTTTCCAGAAACGTATCGTAGCTTACCAGCCGTATTCTGAACACGTGTGATTGGTCGACGTTGTCGGATAGGTGTGATTCCATGATTTCGAGGATGAGCGCGTACTCGCCCCATCCTCTCACTCTGCTTCTCTGGGGGTTTCTCCAACCCTCTGCTTCTTTGGGGTTTCTCAACCTCTCTACTTCTCCGGGGTTCACTACCCCTCTGTTTCTCTACATTCTTTCTGGTCTCCACTGATCAAGTAATTACATTTCCACCACACCATCTTCTTCTCCTTCGGACCTTCCTGCGTACTCAGAGCCAAGCCTCTCGTACTAAAGGGTCCAGCGGCACAACAAGTGAGTTGGCACGCCGCGCTGCAGCCGTACAGGACACGTACAGGCTTACACGCAGCACTTGAGTTTTTGCCTTTGACCTGTGACTATAAGATTGCACAATCGGGTGCTCTGCTTATGTACATCAGTGGTCATTGCTGCATACGCACGTTCTACTTGCGCGACACACTGCGGAGAGAGCACGCACCAACTCAAGAGTAAATTAGGACTACCCTTTTTGACGACAAACAACAACACCTCTTCGAGAGCCGATACGGGTCGTCAACACCCACAAGCCTACATCCCCAAGAGGTTATGAGCCTCGGTTAGCGCTCTGGCACATCGTTCGAGGTCAAGGTCGAGGAAACGAAGATTCGGGACTCGTGACAAGATCTGGAAGCGAGGAATACTTTCTGGATCTACGAGATCTACGACGGAAATCAAGAACACGAGAAATTGGATCGGACTGGCGGAGCTCCAGGATCCAACAAGCAAGTACAAGCCCTCAAGCGCAGCAGCTGGTGTAACATCATGGCAGAGTCCACCGGCAAGCTCACGTCGATCGTCAGAGGCATCCCGAAGTTCGACGGGAATCCAAACAAGTATGAAGATTGGAAGGTCGACATCAAGACCGTTCTGGAATTATCTCGGCGGGACATGTTCGAGATATTGAATGGCGACTCCTCAAGACCGAAGGAGATCTATGCGCGGCGAGCCCGTGCATCAGGCACCATGGAAGCCCCGGTGCCCAGCGAGGAAGTCGCTGACGGGGACAGCAGCAAGGCTGTAGGAACTCAAGAAAAATCATCAGCCAGCAGTGCGGCGACTGCTGTTGTGATACCAGGAAGGACTGCGGATCGTGACAGTCCCGGGACAGGATCGCCGGATCTTCAAGCGCGAGATTCGGAACAACCTGGGCCACCTCAGAATCAACGTGAGATTGATGAATGGGAGCAGATCAACGCTCTACTATACAATGTCTTATTCCTGACTACCAGTGGAGACGCAAAGTGTTTTATGCGCACGTACGAGTCGAAGAAAGGAAGGAAGGCAGACGGCCAAGCAGCCTGGCTTGCGCTGGAGAACAACCATCAGAACAAGTCAACTCACAGGAGGCAACAACTCATGACAAGACTTGCCAACTTCCGAATGGAAGAAGGATCCGATCCGGACACCTTCTTCAGGAACATTGACCAGCTCGCCGAGCAGCTCGAGCTGGTAGGAGAGCATGTTTCGCGGCACAGAAAAATGGACACCATCATGAGGGGGATGCCCAGAGAGTACGAGTCCATCAAGTTCCACGTCATGAGCAATCCAGATTTTACTCTGGAGCAGCTAAAATTCACTATTCAGAACATGCACATGAACGGATATGCAACATCCGGGCGCAGAGGAAGGGGATCAGCTATGGCAGCTGGTCCAGCTAGACGTGACACGTCTAAGGTCAGATGCTACTCGTGTGGTGAGCTTGGACACTACCAGAAAGACTGCACGAAGACGGGAGGATCGGCCGACAACCTCGGTGGCGACACATCCACACCCCGTCAGAACGGCGACACGACCGGAAAGAAGAAGTGGTGTTCTTTCCACAAAACACACACCCACGACACCTCAGAATGCAAAGCATCAGCGGCTAGGAAGGCCGCACCGAGGTCTTCTAGGAAACAGCACAGGCAGGGCAAGAGCAACTTCGCCAACGCAGC